TCTGGAAGAACACTTAGGCTACTAATTATGTTTTAATTAATTTTGCGCGGAAGGAGTCGCGGGCGACCGCTAGTTTGAATATACCCTGTGTCATCCGGGTATGGTGTAGCTTTGCAACAGTGATTTTTGTAAATTGGTTAAGTAGTTTAGGAGCCTATTTAATGCAAACAACAAATTTTACTTTTTTAACATTTTTAATACTATAAATTAACTAGTTTTTTTAAAGAGATTCGAAAGGATATGTTATGTTTTTTTTTTCAAAAAAATCTTACCGTCTATTATTTCTTATATAGTTAAAGGCAAATTATCAATCATTCTACTGATTTTTACATGAGTTAATTGTGTTTTTTTTCTATTCAGTGATTTCAGCAATCACCCGTTGGCTTCTCAAACCCGGACACAGCGTAGAGTTTACAAATCAATACTAATATTTAACAGATGTTGAAATAAAAACGAATTGACCAATTTTATGGCTTTTTTTAACAATATAAATTATATTAACGTTTCTAACACTTTACAGTGATCGTGGTTAGGAGGCTGAGATGTTTAACGTCTTTAGATCCATTACCGTCCGATTTCAACAATAAATTTTGCTCTGATAAAAGCAGAATAAAGTCAATTTATCTTTGGATGCTACTGTTTTATAATCCGTTTAATATTTATTTATTTGCCTCATGCTTTTTTAAAATGAAATTATTCAAAAAAGAAAAACATTCTCATTATGAGAATAGTTTAATAACAGAACTTAGGTTTCATCTATCTGGTTTTCTGCCTACATTATTTATATCAGTTAAGTTAAATAGAATTCCAGCCTCAAAGCTCATAACTAACGACCCGACTTGCGGTACAAAGTTAAGTCTTTAGTCTCTAATAGTAAGTTTGCATTATTGATATTAGCTGACTTTGATAACTTCTCCTTTGCTCTACCTCAGATACATAACCTATCAAAGGCCCTCGCCTCGCCAACCGCACCCGTTTGCATTGCTAATATGCATAATGAACGTCCATTACAAGCTTCAGCTCACTTCATTATTAAAATTACCACAAAGGGTGTGGCAAAGCAATATTACCAAGAATTGAGTTAATAAAGTTGAACATAGTATATACGAATTACCATTGTCTCTCTCACTCTTTTTTATGTGAGTTTCTCTGTAATGATACACACGGACAGATTAAAATCGTTAATTTGTGTATACCATCATAATGTACATATATAAAATGCGAATATTGAAAAACAAATCGGATCCAACCTAGACCTACAGATTCTAAATCAAGTTCAACCGACATTATAAATGTGTCGAAACTTAAATCAATAGTTGGTGTTGATCTACTTCTTTGAATAATTTATGAAATATTATATTTATTTAAAGTACCAGTGCTTTACTAAGAAACAATATTCAAAATTAAAAAGATAGACGGCCAATCTATTTGTTATTTTAACATGCTTACGCACGTACTAATATTATATTTATTCCTAACCGCGTGCCCAGCACGATCTTTACAATAATGCTTCTGTTCAAAACTAACACCAACTAAAACAAATAACACGTCAAAACAATTATTATAATCCAACCGCAAAGTTACAGATTATAAAGTAATTAGGGTTGTCATTTACAAGAAAAAATTATAATTAAATTATAAAACATTACAGATACATTGTTTTTATTTTTTGTTGTTTTTGAGTTTACATGTTTTTTATGCTTGTATATATTCATGCATCAACACGTAGTTAAAAAATCTTGTTTTTTTTTTAAACAAAAGAGATAGTCATTGTGAAAATGAAATAGGTTCAATTTTCAGTAAACCAAAGTTAAATTCCGTAGATCTTGCTATAGGACAATGTTTCTGAAGAACTTATTGATTCTTTTATGTCCTAATTTAGTTCAAGGTATTCTTTAAGAAACGCGGACGGAATAAATATTTTTTTGTATTAAGATTTACATTAACCCAATGTCGGGATTATTATGCTGTCCATTATTTTTATTCGTAGTATGTTTCTTTTTTATTTGTTTTGTTTTCCTTTTATAATTTCACATCTATGAGTACGGTAAAAATAGTGTTTAAATACATTTTAATTGTAATTATTTGCTTACGAAAAAAAATAAGCAAATTTTTTTTCTTAAAATTTTTCTTACTTTTAATGTTGTTTCTAAAATTAATTATACCTTTTTATTATACATAAAGAAGGTATAAATCATTTTACGTATGCGGTGTAATTAACTGTATGTTGAAAAATAAAAATCTGAAATAAGTGATTAACAATAAATATAATTAAGTAATAGCTTATAGAGACAACCCTATTCATATTCAAGGAGGAAAATAAATAAAACTATAAGTTACGTCTTGTTTCTGTACTGAAAATATGAACATATGGCGTGTGTTAGAGCAAGTAATCCTCAGGAAAAAAGACTATCGTAGTTATTGATATCGAAGCACGTGCAGTAAAAAAGTACAAATAAAAATAACAAAAAATTAACCCACTTATAAAGATATGAATTATTAACTTGTCATTTTGTGACTACACTTTTTATGCTAAAATATTTTTCAAAAATGAATCTTTTAAAAAAAGTTGATGGACTTTGAATTAACTTACCTCGTTTTACTGCTTCGAAGTCAGAAATCAAATAGTTTCCCCTTCATTATTTTGTTAATAGTGTCATATTTTTTAAACTAATCACAGCAAAAACATAATAACAAGTAAACAAAAATCACAAACTAGAGAAATAAAACCAAGTGTTTGATTTTTAAAATGTGGGTAATTTAAACAGTTTACGTACAAACTTTTATAAGTTAGTTTCTACATTTTCCATATTTAAAAACACATCAAAAAACAAAATTATAAATAAAAATTAAACAACACACTAGTTTTGAGCACAGTTTCTTTTTAAATATAATCACAAATGAAAATTATCGGAAATTTTCCGGCACCGGCGTTAGAGAAACGTCCACCGCTCAGACCCGCTCTCTGAAAACTGAAGCTGAAGACCACATCATATCGTACAGCTTTTGGCAAATCTATACGAGATGTACACAACATTATTTGTCTCGCTTTAATAAAAGGCCATGCTATTATTCTATCTCTTTTCCCCTTCTTATCCTGGCCGCTAACAAAACCGAAAAACATCCCTCAAAAAATATCGAATTACTTTCTCATTATTCGACAAATGGTACGCACATTTGACAGTTAAGTTAAAACATTTGAACGCAAATTTTTGCGGGAAATTGATACAATAAATAGATGATGTGTGACAACTAATTACTTAGTTTTCTTGTATTTTATTCTGCAATTAGTATGGATAGATATATCTCGTATGCAGCAAATTTAACACAGTTTATTATGATAAAACTGGGCTATTCACTTAGTTATTGGTTGTTTTATCGTTGCACATCTTGGACCATATGGCTGTGTGCTTTCTTTATCGGTTAATGACGCATTAAAGATGGACGGTGTAGGTTTCCTACTGGTCATTAAAACAATTTACGATAGGCATTGTGTTAGGAAATTTTATTGCACGGCAGTGGCGGACGGCTTAATAAAATCTTTTATTATTCCCTTTTCTCTCAGCCGATATAAAATGCGAGAGTAATAAAATCAATACTTTAACAATAACCCTTCTAATTTATGTTGGACATTCATGAATACTAATTGCTTATTTAAAATGGTTTGTATTAGTTTGTTTACGTTTACTTTATAGACTTCTTTTTATAACTGTACAAACCTGCATACGATTTATAAACCATAAATAATTTATAAAACTTAAATATTTTTAAAGGTTTCGGAAAACGAAATTAAAAGTGAGCAAAGGGAACGATTTTCGGGCCCCAGTATTAAAGTCGTACTGAAAGATACAAACAGACACACTTTATCAGCTTCAAGCCTAAGTTAGGTGTGACTAGGCCATAGTCAGCCACGTCGGACCAGTACGGGTTGGCTGGCTTCACACATGTCTTTGAATGAATTCCTTTGCAGATTGCATTAGAAGTCAAGGGCTTAACACTTAAGCCACCGACGCTCTCACAAGAAATTCTCTACAATAACATTACCACACACATTTCGTGGGTGCTGTTAATCTTTTCACATTATTAATTGCATATAAATCAACAATTCTACATCTCCATTTGGTAAAAAGCTAATTTCTTAGTTCAAGTAATCAAATATTTAATACACACTAGTACATATTTATGGATATAGATAATTGGAGACTCAATTTTGCACATTTTAGTGAAATTACTTTCGTGTAACAACTCCCCACGGCAACGATAACCGCATGAGTCTAATGGATTAAAAGATAACTAACTCATAAGTTTTACATGGTAATCGAATTATTTCAATATGGTGATGATGTCAAAAATAATCAACTTTAACTTTTATACATTATTACCCTTTGTCGTCGGAGTACCCAGACAACTATAAGTTTTTTAGCTATATAATTTTCTAGATTCTTCGTTGAATTTAAATATCGGTGTAGTTTTTGCATTTAATGTTGTTTTTTTCTTCTTTGCCTTCTTTATTTTCTTCGCCTAAATGTTTTATAGCTATGTTAGTTTATACCTTTGAGAAATAGAGGTATAAAAAGGAATGCACCTGTAAATTTTTTAGATTACACATTAATCCACAACTAATGTTATTTTATATACTCTTTGGTTATTACCTACATCTCACTGATCAGGTAATTTGAATTTGAAGTCTCTCTACGAAGATTTTAAGTATTATAAGTATAAAGGCCGTAATTTAAAGAATATAAATTAACCCTTAACGGTCCAAAGGAAGGTTCTCAGGTGCACCACTGTAGCTTATCTGCTACTCTGCCTTACGTAAATAACTGGATGTCTCTAACATTCGTAGAATGTAGTCGAGGTAGCTATGTCTACACCAGCGCTCTTTTCCTTCATCTTGCCGTTTCTAACGATAACTTACAAAATAATATTTCTTATTTTATTTTTATCTGTTCGTATAACTGTCATTGTCAATATTATTTAAACGGTGTCCGACTTTTATACGCTCTTTGGTCTTTGGTGACCAGCTTATGTCAAAGTGAATTGTCAAGCACGTTTGAACTCTAAACTGAAATTAATTTTAATAATAAAGAAAACAAATAATTGCCAGAGGATTACAATCTGTGTAAACTGAATTTAACATACATTAAATCTATATTTAATAACAGAATGTCAAAGGTCACTTTAAACCTAATAGCAGCAGCCTGTGAAAATATGGGTATTGGAGTGAATGGGACTTTGCCATGGAAACTCAAGTAAGCTTTATAAAATGTTTGGTTTAAATGAAATTACTACTTTTAATAATAAAATAATGCTATGACTAAACACTGAAACAAAATATGGTTCCGGATTTTATTATAGTTTCATCATCTCAGCATTAAATAAGTTGAATTTTAAATTGTCTTCATACTTCTAATCTTCTTTGGAGCTATGCTTTTAGAGTTCCTTTAAACCATCAATGGTTCTGGTTCTTCAGAGTTACTCAGACAGGACATATAATCGTCACTGTTATTTTGCAATTTATGAAACACAGTAATTTTGTAATTTCAGAAAGGAAATGGCTTACTTTACAACAATGACAATGAAAGTAAAAGATGAGAGTAAACTTAATGCAGTTATAATGGGAAGGAGAACATGGGATTGCATTCCAGATAAATATAGACCCTTGAATGACAGAGTAAATATAGTTATGACACGCCATGTAGATGAAGTGAAGACAAAGGTAAGGTATTTGGCTTTGTACATTTTTATTGGAAACAATATACTTTACTTAAATTCTGTATTTAAGGTTCCAGAGGGTGTGGTTGTGGTTCCGAGTTTGGATGAAGCTGTCAAATATATTGAGGGAAGAGAGGATATAGAATCAACATGGGTTATTGGTGGATCATCTATTTATAAGGTAACAATAACTTTTTATGGAAGGTAGAAAATGAACAGCAGTTCAACCAATGCTGATTTATTTGTCCACTACAACACCTGAAAAACTAGACAATTGGCAAGTTTTTTTTAGTGGAGGCATTATTATGCAGGTTTAGATACTATTCATACTGTCATTTAAATAATAAATCTTTCATATTCTATATTCATAATACACATAAATATGAATACTTATGAATAACTAGCTGTAGCCCATGACTCCATCCATGTGGAATTAAAAAGAAAATGTTATTATAGTAGTAGTAGCCTATTTGTTCTATATGTATGCACAATTAATTGAGATCTGTTCAGCTATTTTGGAGATATCTTCAAACATCCATCCATCCAAATGTTCGCATTTATAATATTAGTAAGATAATAAATGATATGGAAGGTCAACAAATGACCTAATGCTGATTACACCTTTTTATTCTAAATTGCTCAAACAATATGCAGAATTGCTATATTTTTTAAGAACCCATCAAGTATATGTGAATTTTTAAAGATATTTTTATTCCAGGCAGCAATGGAACATGAGAACTGTGGCAAGATTTACCTGACAGAGATACAAAAGTCGTTTGACTGTGATGCATTCTTCCCAAACATAGATACGCAGCAATTTCATTTGGTAGATGAAGAAGAAATACCCGGAGAGAGACAGCTAGAAGGAGATATAAGTTATTTCTTCCGTGTATATAGAAAACTATAATCATCAACTCATTCATACCAAGAAGTTCAGGTATGGCATATTTTAAGGTTACTTTTTAATTAAGAACTTTTTTTTAATGCTTTTTGATACTAGAGCTTGTAACTATATGGGAACAATTTGCATTTGGCTTTGATATATTTCTTATAGTTATTAAGTAGAAAATGATACGATATTTTTAATAATTGGGTTTTTATATTTAAGTTGTTAATTTTTTTTTATGTGTATGAATGAACAAATTGGTCATATTTTTTCTATGAAAGTTATAATTTTAAGATTGATTGGATAAGAATTGTTAAGTAAGAATGTTTGACAGTACTTTGTGGATGTGAATCCTTTTTTTTTTACCTTCTATTTCTTTGGCACTCATGTATGCTGGAAGCAACTTGATCTGCTTAGTATTTTAGCTTTATGCTACTGTTACCTTAATTATTTGTAATAAGTTAATTATCATTTGCCAAACGTAGTTTAACCCAGTCTCGAATAGGTCTAGTCAATTTATAAGAAATGTGTATTTTAATAACTTTGAATATTTCTTATGGTATTAGATAATGTATATCACTAGTATCTGACTATCTACATACTAATACAGTTCCCTTATATGTAAAAATATTAATTTTATCTATAATAGTTTTCCAGACCATTGTTCCGTTATAATTATGATATTGAATGATGAATCAAACAAAAAGTGTTGTTCTTAAATAAGTGACATTTTTTTTTAAATTGGTAGTAATCGCTAGCAATTAAGTTTGGACTAAAGTTACAATGTGTAAAACTAAATTTTATTATTGTTAAAGGAATATAAAAACGTAACAAATTATTTTATAGTTTTATTTAACCTTCACAAACTGATTTGTAATTTTCCTAGGAAACAGGTTTTCTCAAGGTGTATGAGTAACCTTTAATTAATAAACTCAAGTAAAGGATGTTTGAGTTTAGTTGTAGTTAATAAAATAGATTATCCACTGTTGGACGAAGTTTCCTAGTTTTTTATAAAAAGATTTAAACAATATGCAGTTGCCAATCCTTGTTGAGTAACATTTAGTCCTGTAGTATGTAGTTAAATGCCAGCGAGGGTTTAAGGAGGGAGGGTGATCCTTCTTCAATTGCACTCGAGACTGGCCACCGAGGGGGTTAAAGTATTATTGTTGTGTTGTTTGGATTATAAATAAAACCCTCAATGGTTAAGATGAATTTTAATTGATTTTCCATTAAAGTAAACTTATACTAGAAGCAGCGCCCCATAATAAAGTCAAAAAGTTGTTTATAATACTCCACAAAATACTGAATCAAAGAAAATTAGGAGCGCTACAAAGTAATCCTAAATGCTAAAAGAGCAGAGTTGCTCGCACTAATAATTGTAACGACATCCGAATTTATGCCATTTTTGCACCGAATATATTAATTTATAGAATCTATTGTGGTAAAATTTTGCTGAATTTTATCTTATTGTTGTAGTTATGTGCTGTCTCTACAATTTTTTTTGTACGATGGCATTAATTAGAATGTCTTATATAGAAATACTAAATTAAGAAAAAACATGAAACCTCTTAGATGCTATTTTTTTTCATATAGAATTTAGGCGCTTATGCACTAACGATGCTTTCTTGAAGTTACAATTCGTTAATGTATAGGCGTAAATAAATGTGATTTGAAAGGGATTTTTTTTATGTGGGAAAAACAAGAGGTTTTGTACGTACACACTGAATGGAAATAGTGATAACTGCAGGACTTTTAACCTCAAAAGTTTTTAAACCATTTCATCATAGATTTATGATTTTGTCTTATGGCCACTGAGGTTAAAAGGACTTTGTTATTTATTTATATGTAATTAAAAGTAAATCTTCAGTTAAACTATTATATAAATTTAATATTTTTAAAAGATACGTGTGCACGTACACAAGCAGAGAATAAAAGTGGAGATAGAAATATAACAAACTGTTTATTTTTTTGGATTTTTTATTTTTTAATTTTTTTTTGTTTAATTTTTTTTATTTGGCTCTACCCCGGAGTGGGCGAATAATACACGACGACATATACGCGTTAAATATAATAATAATAAAGATTAAAATTAAGTTTCTACAAAACAGTTTTGATTTTCAAAGGTCGAAAGCGATTCAAAGCTGAATTTGTAGAAAGAAATAATAAACAACTAAAACTAAAAAAGCTTCTTGATTCCTCTAAGACAATGAAATATTTGCGATTCTAAATTTTAAGCAAAATCTACGAGAATGTTGATCTAACTGTGACAAACTTCTATAATTTAGTTCAATGCCTTTAAAGGAAATCAATAAGCAATCTACATAATAGGAATACATACTAAACATCTAAACGCTAGGAGACTTGTTGAAACTTTACCGAAACCACTATAAGCAAGCGCGAAGCAATACTTTACAATTAAAAGTGCTCTTTCAAAATTTCCCCACGACCATGTGACAGCTCTTCGAATACTGAATAAAATGTAATACCATTAGGATATGAATGTTATATGAATCCAACCTAGTTTGTCAAACATTTGATTCAAATTGTCCGTTCATTTATGAGATAATTTGTCATTAAAATTAATTTAATAATCAAATAAATGTATGAAACATTTGATCAAACAGTTTGTCAAACATCATAATTAAATTGAACATAACTACTCTATGGTATATAATACTTGCTGTCACTTGTCAAAGATTAAACAGCCGCAAACTACTATATGATAAAGAAGTAAATGTACTTGGGAAAGCGGTGCTAGAGCGTTGGAAGGATGAGGGAGTCTATTGCATGTTGTAGTGCAGGAAGACGTAGTCGGGGTTGTTGATCTCTTGCGGCATGAGGGGCGATGTGGGGGCAAGCAGCTGGAAGCCCATGAACATGAACGTGCGGAGGACTGTTGCTCTGTCCGGCCGGGATTTCAGCACGCAGATGATGCAGCTGGAAGAAAAAAAAACATATTAACGATTCCCTACTTAAAAGATTTTTAACAGTATACATACTAGTATGACTTTAAACAGAAATAATGTTTTAATAGCAACTATAAGGGTCCGTTTACACATACCGGGGTGGAGAGCATCGCGCGCATTCGCCTCTTCATAGGAAAAATTTAATTTAATCTTGTTTCAATAACGCTCAATTTTATTTGCACTAAAAATCTGCTCTCCTCTCCGGTCTTTACCGGACTTTTAGACATGCCTTTATAAATTAAACATTCAATTATTGAGGGCACTCCTTAGGGTAGATTTATCACACTAAACAGTCTTTTAGCATAGATTTCGTTACTATTGAGTGTTGTAGTGGAAATTTAATATTACCTACATCTATTTAATAATACTAAATACTAACTTATTGCAGCCAAGTCGTTCTTCTGCAAAGTCCAGGAGTAGCATAAAGCTCTCCTTACTTCCGGATTGCAGTACTGCCGGCATACGCAAGTAGATGGTGTTACCTTGCACCACCTGGAAAGAAAAAATAAAATATTCAATACTTTGTGATGAGATTAGATTAAATGGTTATTATAGGTTATTATTTTTGAATTCAGTTCATCTTCTCTTTTTTTTTGGGATAATTTATTTTGTAAAACACAGTGCAGCGGTTTTAGCCAGAATGAAAATAATTCATTTTACCCGAGGCAGCTTAATTAACATTAATTAGTTAATATTTTGGAGCTCAGAAAACAGGCGTTGTTGAATTATTTGAGTATATTTAAACTTTTTCATAATATTGATTAGAAGCCAGCTGTATGCGATAGTGACGTCATGCGATAAGTCGCTGACCTCATTATCGATTACCAATTGACTGATAGCATACTAGTGTTTGAAAACATTACAGCTACAGCATGTTTCATTATTATGATAGTTATGCAAAATATGAGGTAATTTTTCTGCAATGCGTGATTTTCTCTTATTGCTATATTTGTGTTAAAACCACGTACGAATATGTGACAATTTCTGTGTTATTTATCAATTTTATAATCACTATTGCAACTATTTATTAAAAACAATATTTCTTGCAAATTAATTTGTAAAATTGTACTCAAGTGTTAAGCGTATGGCTTAAAATATTCAAAATTAATACTATCTTACTAATATTATAAATGCGAATGTTTGGATGGTTGGATGGATGTTTGAAGGTATGTTCGGAACGGCTCAACGGATCTTGATGAAATTTGGCAAAGATGTAGAACATACTCTGGAAGAACACATGAGCTATTCATTAGGTGTTTTATTAATTCCGCGAGGACAGTGTCGCAGACGACAGCTAGTCTTTCATATTGGTAAAAGTTAACTTACAGCTTCCCAGCGAGTGACAGTGTTCTCAGTGAGGAAAATCTTGAATTCAATCTTCACTGGTTGACGATCTTTACGCTCCAATATCTTGCTTATTACCTGTAATATAATAAAACACTTAAATCTCTATCTCTTTATTACCAAGACATGAATGCTATATACAGAGTGTCCCAAAACATTTTTTTTTACATTTTTGATATGTTTTTCAATTTCCTCAGTGTACAATTTCACTTTATATTATAAACCGGCGACAAATTATAAATTCCGAGTAGAACTTTATAAAATTACAATGTGAACAATTTTGCAATTACATAATATAATTAACCTAGAAAACTAGATCATGCTGTTTACATGTATCTAAGTGGGCCGAGTATAATAGGATGGTTATTTTAAGCCATATCAATATGATAAGAGAGGTTAAATACGACTTGACTTGCCTTTGTGGCTGCACTATATACTATGATCATTATTCATTGTGTTTACAATGTAACAAAATTACAATAGAAATGTAAATTCAACAGATTTGTAGACCATATCTCTACCAGAAACACTAATCATGACGTGCCAGCTACAGAAGAAATTAATGGTTTTGACCAATTAACATATACAAAAATCAATGAAGTAGCAAATTCATTCTTAACATCTTAGAGAGAATAATAGATTAGATCATAAAGTAGAGAGATGAGAATTGAATTTTTTAAAGGGGGAATAAGTGTGTGTAGTTATTTAAGCGCATACTGACCGCTTCACGTCGCTCCGGCTGCAGCGCGGGATGGGTGTGCGGCGGTGAACCGGCCTCGGCCAGGCTCTCCGCGCTGCCCGCCAACGAGCTCGCGCTGGCCCATAGCAAGGCGCTCAACAAGTCACCTGACGTTACAGACCATTTAAACGCTGCACAAAAATATATGCACTAATTTAGAACACAATACAAACTATGTATTAAAATTAATAACGAACAAATGACAAATGTTGAGTAGATAAAGCAGAATTGCGACATTTTTTAAACCGACTCCTAAAAGGAGGTTTTCAATTCGTTTGTACGTTTTTTATTTTTGTTCGCCATAACTCTGCCCCTATTGGTTCGATTTCCATAATTCTTTTTTTATTCAAAAGGTGCCATTTTATTTAATAAAGAAGCAACGTCCTACTTTATTAATAGTGTTCTCTTTGATAGACCAGACCCCAAGAAACCCTTAACAATTTAGTGAAGAAGTCGTATCCTAATGCCAGAGAATCTGTATAGTGTCTCGAAAAGTTCTTTTGCTCTGTAGCCATTTTAGATTTGTAAAAATAAAGCTGCACAGTATGTATACTTACGGTTGTTGTCGTCGTGAGTGGGGGTGGATGGGGTTGCGGGGCTCGAAGCCCCGCTGCTCACCCCTCCGGGCGGTGCCGAGCCATGAGCAGGGACATCAGGACCACCTGCGAACACATTTATCATACACTATCCTGCTAAATATTAGAGAATATGTACTACGCTACATATTTTAAGGCCCTGGACTAGCGCTACTTTATGAGAGCCTTAAAAAATTTAAGTTTAACTTTCAGTTTCAGAACGCTACATGTGTCATGTATAATCCTTGGCCGCTCCTAAAAAAAATTTCGGCCGGTGTACAAAGTCTGTAAATAGTAAATAAATAATAAACTCACCACAGAGGCCCGGCGCCCAGGCACAGCGAAAAACACTCGGCGTCGGAAGCCGACAAAGCCGAGCGCTTGCTGCCTGCAACGCTCAGGGACGCGCAGTCACCACTGCAATATCACAACATAATTATTAATTAACAATACCAATGTACTACACGAGGGCAACATGAGTCATGTCAAAGTCGTCGTGGTCACTTCACATATAGGGGCTCTCAGCTTATTCAGTTCAAGTAAGAGTACTTTTGTGAATAAAATAAAAAAAGGCTAAAGGTAAAATACTGCGTATTAAATGTGCGAAGTTAGTTTATAATGTTCGCGTTATCCTTGACTTTATACGCACATAAAGTCAGGGACCAATAATATTTAGCAATACATTAGCGGAGAAGTGTTTCTATTTAAGTCACGATTTTATTACTGTTGTGGTATTTTTTAATACCGGATTTAAGCAATCAATAAATATTTCAACTAACAAATATAAAACAAAATACAATCGATATCGAAAACTAAATACACTTGACGAAACAATTCGACAACTAGTTGTCGCCTGCGACTCCGTACGTGAGATATAAAAGAAACTTAGTAGCCTGTCCTTCCAGACTATGTTACATCTGTGCCAAATGTCATCAAGATCGTTGAATCGTTCTGGAGATACCTTCAATCAAGCATCTATCCATCTGTATTAATTATAAGTAATAAGTCAGACGATTGAAGTTTAACTATGAATCAAATCGACGAGGCACTATATCTTAAGCATCGTACATAAATACCTACAAGTATGTCAACTGACCTGGTTTCGATGTATGGAAATTTTCCATTATTGACATCGGTGCATCATGTTAACTGACACGTACTTGTATCTTTCAACGTATTAATAGGTCTTTTGTTTTTAACGCGCACAGTGGGTCTAGTAAGAATATTTGTGATATTCGCCATTGTATCGTCATCGTCAATTAGGACAAAACTAGCTGACGCCTGCGACTTCGTCCGCGCGGAATTAAAAAAACCTAAATTAGTAGCCTATGCGTTCTGTCAGACTATTTTCTACAACTATGCCAAATTTCAGCGAGAACGTTGAGCAGTTTCGGATACCTTCAAACAAACATCCGTCAATCTATTTGAATTTATAATATTAGTTATTTGTAGTAAGATTAGTATGAGATTTTTGGTGTACTTTATAAACGTGCACAAATTTTGTTGATGTCGATACGGTCACAAATATTCGGGTTAGGTCTACAGTAATATAGAACAGTAGAGTTGTGACAGCCTAGATTCTAGTTCTAAACAATGTAGCAGTCTTCTAAGCTTTTCAAGAATGAGTTATTTTATACTACGTTTTAAGATTTTTTATGTACACTGTAATTTAAAAATGATTTCTTTAACTAAGTTACATCTCAGCATTATCTAAATTGTTAAAAAATAAAATGATTTATAGTAAATACCACGTTAAAACGCAAAACATTATGCGTTGAATTGCGGTCATATTTTCAAAGGCATACTTAAAAAATAGGTAAAGTAATATTTAACATGAGATGTTATGTGAAGGAGAACTATTTGCATAACATTTTCAGCATCAAATCTTATCATGTTTATCTACAATGACAAATAAGATTCTCAGTTTATATCAAAAGATAAACAACGAAATGCTGTATACGTGGAAAGTGTCTTTCAAATCTCCAGTAATACAATGATAAGTATAAACAAACAGTGGTAAGACTAGTTCACGTGACTGTAATAAAGTTGGTTTTTAGTTATTTTCCATTGTGATCCATCCGAAATACATGAATAGAAACAAATAGTCATCTCCCTCATTTTACATACATAAAACAGAGATAACAAATTTTGAAAATTACATCTATTACACACATTAGACTTGTTCACCTTAATTGATACGGTATCCACGATCATCAAAGCTTTTTCTAGTAATCGATATATAGTTATTAAACCCAGGCAACATATTATGAGCCATCTATGAACCATTTCCACTGACTAGGACACCGCAAAAAAAAACTGATGTATATGAATGACACTAAGTCAAGAGCCATATAAATAGAACAAGTTGTTTGGCTAGTCGCTCTAGTGGAAATGGGAACTACGCTGTAGAAATGGTCGCTATGGTATTGTATTACGAGGGGGTAGTTTCGGAGAATAAAAAAAATCAATTTCAAATATGTACTCGTAAATACTTGACGTCAATGGTTTGGTGACAATGAAATTATTCTTACCAGTACAGTTTCACGACCATCTTTGACGACGAAAAAAAAAGTTAAATAGTAAAATGACAAAAAAAAACTTTGTTCAAATAAAATGTAGTATCACAACACTGGAATGTAAAGTACTTGTTTATACAATAATTACGTTATAATTTTTTAAATCGATTCTTTGAGGGAATTTTTCTAAAAATTATTTTTATGCTGTATGCCGTATACAGCATATTATGGTAAAATTTAAATATATTGTTTGCTTTTCTCTTTTAAAGGCGTCCGTTTTATAGGAAATTCAATTGGGAACTGATAGAAAGCGGGATAAACAAGCCCTGTTCGAAATTATGAGAGAGCTTTGCCAAATATAAAAATAGATATAAATGGTACAACGTAAAAGACATTATACACCGACCGTGTTTTTTGATCAATTTAAATTTTGGGCCGAGGATAATTGTTTCTATACATATTTTCGTCTGCTCGATTTAAGAAATTCCTGCATATAAAACATATGAAAAGTTTTCCATTTATCTTATTTTAAATTCGGGGTTGCAATGTCAAAAATTTGACTTGCATGGAGGAATTTAACGAAAGAAAGAAACATTGAACTATTGTAAACGCACCTTTACAACAATATTTTATTAAGTAAAAGATAAATTTGAATTTCCTATTAATTAAAGCCACTCTAAAGATAAGACCTGTTGTTTTCAGACATCTGTTTACATTTTATCGTATTGTTTTGACTTTCTGCAAGGTGAAATGTGTAAGTACATTTATAAAGGAATAACGTTATTAAATTGTAAATTTAATTAAGCCTCATTTTCACTAACGATCATGATAAACCATGGAAAATATATTTGTTTACTGAGCATTGCCAAAAGCAATTGTAATATAATGTAGGTAGATATAAAATCTACGTCACTAGATGTGACAACACAAGGAAAACCTGTTACCGTAGCCAACTGGATGGATATTTTAAGTTAATGCCTGTTTACAACCCAATTATGGAACTTTATTTGGAGCTGTATACCTTTGTGTATATACTGCAAGCTACATTACAACAATTTGGTTACGTCACGTCTTTCTATTAATTGATCCAACCAATTAGTCGATTGCAAAATAAGTTTGAAAACTTCTAATTTCTCAAGAAAATTGGAAGCAAACCCGTGCGTAACAAGCTATATTAAGATATACATTTTCTTGAACAAACTTGCGTCAATACTTCTCGAAGTTGGCAAAAGCTTTATTCGCTTTTGAATAGAAATTGTAGACCGAAATAGATTCCTTCATTCTCTCAAATAAGGATCATTTCACACTATGGTCGCAATAGAAATACGATGTATTAGAAAAAAAATTATTAAACAAAACCATAAGTTGGACCACACATTTTATATTACTATCATTTTAATCTTACTAATATTATAAATACGAATATTTGTATGTATGGAAAGATGGACGGATGAATGTTGATATACGTTGCCTAATACTAATATCCAATCTCATTAGACGCTTTGTCGAAGCTTAACTCACGAAGAAGTAGTGAAATTATTAACCATTATTTAACCAATGCTAGTTATAGATAGGGATCACACATTTGGTCCACGTTAGCCGGACAGTTTTGACCTTGAAGTGCACTCTATCTCAATAAATAGGTATTGAGACGTGCAGCATCAATTTATGTCCGAACGAACGATTACATCGTCAGCTAGAGCAACTTATTTTTAAAACAACTACGCCGTAACACTCGATGTATGCGAGACCTAATGTTATTTGAAGGACGAAGGACGTATTATTTAAACTGGACGGACGAAAAGGAAAGTATTAGGTTTTTGTATAAGGTATTACTAATGTTTTTTATATCAGTCTATATTATCTTCATAGCATTGTTGAAAACTAAACGCAAATATACGTGGGTACCGGCAAAAAAGGGTTAGCGTCGCACCGTCTACAATGAAATAAAATTATAAATGGAAAATCTACAGAATTAGCATGAATTTAAATAAAAAATTCAAACAGCATTAAAACCCGATTACTTTACTTGGGGAGCTTGGATTTTATAAATTTTGTAGCGTGATTCAAGTATGGTGGCCAGTTCACTAATCTTCAGTTGACTAATATTCGCCTATATTATTTGATGGAAAAATTATAGTGTACAAAGATATAGTAAACAAAAGTATAAAATAAATAAAATTCTGCGAAGGTTACACACGAGAACCCAAATAAACAAAGTGTCACGTGTGTTGGCGTATTGGCAAGAAAAATGTTTACATTTTATTTTTAAATCCGCAACCGAGGCGTGGTCGCCGGAATTTTTTTATCTCGCCCAATCCTATTTTCATATGATTACTTTTGATTTTATTCAGAAGCGAAGGCGCGGCCGCGATTTTGTTTTAGCACACTATTTTTTCAAATGTCAAGTAGGTATAGTAGTCTTAAATAAAAATGTATTATGTGCTATAAGAGGGTTTCACATAATAGTGCTAAATTAAATGAAAAATAATTTAATAGTATAAGTTTCGTAGGAGCCTAAATTTATTTTGATACAATTAGTAATGTTAGGTTAGCCACGCTATGCTCTTACAAGATCAGAAACATCTTGTTAATATTAAGACTGTTTTCTTCTAAAATTCACATTTGGAATCAAATAATTTTACAAAAGTTACAACATGCCACATGAATAATCTAATTATAAAAATAGCAATTACATGTGCATGTGCCTTTCATAAAATATACAATTGTATAAAATAAAATGTTGCAAAAGCAACAATGTGTAATGCAAGTTCATATTACATTCTTGACATTCAAGGTCAAATAATTGACTTGCTAAATTGATACAAATGTGAAGCAATATTAATGTGAGCGCTGCAAAACAGCCAATAGAAATGTAGTATACATACATACAATCTACAGCTCATTTTATTGATCTAAGATTATGTAAGACATCAGGTGGTGTTTCATGATTTATTTATGACTAGTTGTCGCCTGCCGACTCCATGTGCACGGTAATAATAATAAAAAAACTTTATTCTACTTCTATCCCAAATTTAGCAAGATCCGTTAAGCCGTTCTCAGGATACCTTCAGACAAACATCCATCTAAACATTTGTATTTATAATATTAGTAAGATTGTACGAAGACTTCTTGTTTGTAAGAATAATAAGGAATGTTCTTTTACACATTAAATTATAACTGTGATTGCCATAAATTTCTTTTTTTTAATATTATAAGGCAGCAAGTGACCAAGAAGCCACCAGTTTTCAGAAATAGATATGCGACTACTGCCCATAGACATTTGTATATACAGATGCATTGCGAAGATGAATCAATGGAGGTGGGGATACACAGAAAGAGAATATTTCCGCTTCCTTTGTATTCCCTCCGCCATCAAATACAAATCCTCTTCTAGGAAGAGGAGTATGGTTGGGCCTCCTTAATTTTTCAATTTGAAACTATATGTAAATTTAACATGATTTTAAGTAGATTGTAGGGACATATGTGCTTGCACAATGTTTTAATTCAAAAACCATTATCCATATGTTTGTCACCTTTGTTACTAAAGTTTTAGTGTGATTCAATAGGATATTCTAAAGGTTTGAGTCCAAAGATTGTTATGTGTTTTAATGAAACTTCTTATACTACGAAAATATTTACCATATTGGATAGCCATGCTACCAGGCTAGCTATAACTGACTTGTTTCTCAACTGACCGATTGCATCTCACTACTAGTGACACAAAATTGCAATTTTAAAAATTATCTCTAAATACCTACATATAACATTTTCTTGATTCTTTTATTTTAAACTTGTTGAAAACAATGAAATCTTTTTATACACACATAAAATTTTAGTCACACCACATTTTTTCACATTTTCAAATTTAGAATTTAGGATATGTCTTATGGTGATTCTTCTATCTTTACTAATAAAAACATCAAAGTAAACACTGTTCAGTCAATACAGTCATTTAAACTGGTTTCTATGAGTTACATAAACTACAAATTCAAGTCATACTTAATTTGTCTAAATCTAAACCTAAAAATACTAGATTTTGCTGTATATTTGGAAAGATCGGTATAATTATTAATAACAGATTAACTTATTTCATGCATACATGTACTTATGAAGTTCAAAGACAATGAGAGTGAGACCACACAAATATTTTTAACAAAGCAAGGTAATCTGTCACTTATGGTGTGATGTGATGACGTATTACGAATAAATATTTTTGTTTTAATATAATTAAAGCTTAGATTATTGCAATTGAACTTTTAACGATGTTTATGAATGTAAATAATTGATTTAGAAAAAGTTGTACTTACTAATTAATCTTCCCTTTAATGGCGTTAGGCTCAAAACCAACAAGGTCAAAGTAATTACTACTACTAAAGTTTAACTGCTGTATTAACTTCGTCATATTGGAAAATCGTAGTTAAGCCTTGTTTGAACTTCGAAAACAAAACACGGTCAAAACCGTAACTTAGGAAAATTGCGCAGCACAAGCAAATCGTTTCACAACACGATAACGAATTAAGACGAGTCGTGTCTTTTGCTTTGCTCAAAGTTTTTAAGTTATCAAAACAAATAGAAAAGTACCTCACTTGCATACACAGTACACGTGGTCTTAGTACGTCTAAATTTAGTCGCTTAATACAATTTTTCCATAATGGCGGCCGGAAATGTGACGTCTCGTTAGAATGTTATTGTGCGTTTAGTTTTACGTTTTTATTTTAATGAACAAAGGATTCTTTATCCGTATTTGTAAAAAATCTTCATAATCTATTCAATTTATATTATATAACTTAATTTAGGCTTCAATTTAATTAAATTGAAATCCAAATGTGTAAATTGACTTTTAAGTATTAAAAACACTAGTAAATATTTAGTGTAATTAATGCGGCACATTGCAAGTCGCGTTTTAAAAAAAAACTATGCTCTTCTCCCAACCATAACAACACCTGACAAAATAATCAATAGAGAAGACTTAGCCGCAGTAAACTTATTGATCGAGCTCAAGCTTTACACAAGGATGATACTTATAAAACGAAGTCTGCCCTACTAAACTTACCGATTGAGATAAATTAAAGAAGGCATACTACTTTTTGATGTATCGATTCTTTTAAAACTTTGTTCCTGTAACATGTAATTGAGTGCCGGTAAGGCATGTAACGTCATAACTTCACTTTACCTTCACACTGCACTTATAGAACAATATCACTTACAAAGTTTTGTTTAGTTTTTTCACTTCGTCATACATTAATAATTTTTTTACTGTTGAGGCTTCTACAATGATAAAAGATTTAGAAAACGACATTCAGGCTCGAAAGTACACTGGCAACTAATGCCGCAGTCGGATGCTATATAATACAATATAAGTGTAAGTAAACCTCACCCCTCTATTTTTAGGGATCGTGGGAACAGTAGACACAGGGGTGGATTTTGCAAAAGCTCCAATAAATATTGCAGATAAGCAATTATCGAGTTAAAAGATTCAAAAACATATATCGTATATCTATATCTATATCCTATAGTGTAGTAGTTACTTCTAGTAGTTTGCGTTAGCTGTCATGTCCATAATTTCTGAGTGCCCTAGATCCATTCCTATTTGGTCTGGACAAATACTGTTATGAATAACGTAACTAATAAAAAAATAACAAATGCCATGCGTTCTTCACATCTATCAGTGAAAATGCATTCCACAAATAGTCTTTTCTGATCTTCCTTCTCAATCGTTCTTTAAGAGGTTGTTGTTGTTTTTAACAGTGGTAGAGCCCGCTTTAACATCTTCGCACGAATCGGCCCGGCTCGCCCGGTGAAATACCACGACCACACCGAAGACAGGCGTAAAGTGGAAGCAATTCCGCGTTTCGTCTGATGAGTGCGCGTCCCGGAGGCCTAATTTAGTCCTCTTTCCCTTCCCATTCTTTTCTTTATAGGGAAAGGATGGGAAGTGGAAGTAGACTATCCGGATGAGAGGATGCATGGAAGGGGAAAATATTTTTTTTCTGTGCATCCTCTCCTCCGTCGATTAAAGGTAGGCAACGCATATGCAATTGCGTATGTCTATGGGCAACGGTCGCTTCGCTATTTCAGCGATTTCAGGTGGCCGCTCGCTCGTTTGCCACCTTTTCATATAAAAAAAAACCTGTCAAAATGTTATCTGGTCACAATAACAAAAATATCTTTAAGTCTATTTTGTTTTGTTAAATTTTTGGGCAGACAATTAATAATTTACTAAATAATAATACCACCCCGTGTGAATGATGGTAGCTAAAAGCCATGCGCAGTGGCGCCATTCCGATGACGTTCTTTGTTTATGCCGCATTTTCTCAATTGATTGTATTGAATGGTATTCCTAAGACTTCTATTTTAAAATAAGAAAACCTTTAAACCCCTAGGAACGTTGGATCAAATACGTTTACTGTAATTATATTTAGTAGATACCTGTTCGTAATTAAACTTTTAAATCGATACCTTAGTGCATTAACATGAATGAAGTCTAGACTCATTCATAATACCTACGTAAATAATTGTCAACTATGTTTTAGTACTCCTTGTCAATATCAAATTGCTATTTGTGGGGTTTGAGATCTTTACAGTTTAAGTCAAACCAGGTTATGTACTAATTAAAAATTAATCATTACTTTTTAAATTAAATGAATTTAAAAAACAAGCTTAAGTCTAGTTTGTCTCCTGTATGGATTCATAACGTTTGGTCTGTAGAACTGTAGGAATGATGTATGGACTTAACTGCAAATGTAACTTAGAGTTTAACCTGTATTGTAACAATAATTAAAAAAATTTAAAGTTGCAAAATATAATTAAGCGTTAATAGCTTAATGGTTAAGGGTACGGATTTTCGATCACGAGGTCGAGCGTTCGAATCCTGCCATTCGACTATTGTCGTAAACCATATCCTAGCACAAGCTTAGAGATTAGTTGGAATGGTTGAGAATAATGTTATTAAGTTTATATCACACTTATTTTGTGTGGCTTTGTATGTTAGGTTAACACAATAAGTTTATGTCTATATACATGTCTCTGAATAGGCTGTTGACGATGTCGACGTTTAAAGGAAATCCTTTTTTTCCCATATTTTATTTGTCTAAAGTGAAAACTTTATTTCATTTATTGTTAGTAACACGATTTCTTATTGTTCCATTGAAAAATACGTATGTTTTGTTGAGTAATTTTACTAGGAATTTATAACAAAATAGTTCAACTAAGTCGTGTTTCAAATGTTTTTGTATTTCATTTGACAATATGCAGATAAAATATTTCCTAATGCACATTACGGCACTAATTAGGTAAATAGTTTATATATAAATTGTACAAAAATAGTAGAACTAATTATTCTGAAGAAGTATTTCAAGGAAAATGAAATTCTTTACTATTTTATTCGTTGTAGCTGTTGGCTTCCAGGTAATTTTAATCATTTTTAATTTTGTTTACATATCTAAAGCACTCTAAATTTGTATTTAAATTGTTTGTTAATTTCTTTGCATTACATTACTTTTACACTTTTACAGGATATTATAACAGGATATTAAAATTTTCGCAATATATCGTGCGTAAATTACACTCAAAACCTCTAAAAACTAATAAAATAAAACTAATTTATTTTGACATAATTGACAATGACGATACGAAGGCGATTGTCACAAAGAATTGTGCTAGACCCACAGATGACAAAGTAATAAATAGTCGAGGCAAAATAAATTTAGATGTTACTAATATGAAATATTTTTTAGGCTGTCTTCGGCCAGGCTTTGAGAGGCACCAGCGTTATCGCTGCACCAGCTTCTTGTCTTCCTACTACCGAAGTGGTCTACTCTACTGCTGCTACTCCAGCTATCATCCAATCTAATGCTGTTGCCACCAGCTTAGCTGATACCCTGTCTCTTCTTACTGTCAGCTCTTTACTCGCTGAGAAGTTGCCATTAGCAGGCCCAGCTGTAATTGCCACCGTACCTACATCCCCTGTATGCGGACCTTACAGTTACATCCTTTAAAACACTTTATATATTAAAATTATATACATCATGTTCCCTTTTTCATGTGTGACATTTACAAAGTTTGTATGTATGAATTAAAGTTATATATTTAAAAATTTATTTGTTTTAAATTGATCTTATATCAATTGTTAATTCACCCTGGTTACTTATCTTACAATAACAAATTATCGCTTTCTTTCGAGATCTTATCTAACCTACCTAATAAATTTCAGTATATTTCCTTATTAATCGAGAGAAAAAGTTTATTAAAATTTGTTGGAATTTTACCTTAATTTGGAATCAAATCCATTTTTAACTATTTAACCTTTATCGAGTAACTAACAGATTCACTTCCAGTTTAGGATATACGTATAAATGGTTAATTTAAAATGTCATTTAAAATCTCTTTAAATTATATTAAAAAGGCGTTGACGCGGACATCTTTTGTTCTACTGCATGGCCCGGAGACTGTACCGGCAGGCACTTGTAACAAAAGCCTTTTGTTCGTGCCTTCCTACTAAGAGCATACTTAATGTAGCATCGTTTCTCCTGTCTTCTTAGTTTTCGCTTAGTTATTTAAAAAAAAATCATCACACTTTTATAGAAAAAATGACAAAAAAGCAAGAAAATATCTTAGAACTAAAAAAGTATGATAAGTTTTGTAAAGCTAAATATCTAGAAAAAGCAAAAGTTACAAACTATGATACAATAATGTAGGTTGTTGACATCGTCTTTGCCGCTCACCAATAGATGGCGCTGTAACGAGACTTTATTGTATTGAAACGCGATATTAAGTGTCATGTCTCGCCACTATATAGTTCCCACAGGCCGCCCATACTTTGGTTATTTTCGTGGTTATATCTAGCGTCTATCTTTGATGTCGTTGTGTCTAAGTAGTGTAGAAATTGGTCGATGTGTCCAAATTTTTGGACCAAGTTTCGCAGGAAATAAACATAGGTTTTATACAATACTTAAATAGATATAAGTAGTATGTAATTCGAATATACTAAGATGATGTCGTCTAGAGCCTGAAAAAGAACATAGACTATTTTTAACGCGATAATGAGGTTAAAAAATTCTATGTTAGTATCGTCATATTTATTACAGATAGACACTTGAAACTTATTTTTTAGGCTGTTAATTTGATATAGATAATTGTGACATTCAATATATACAAAACATTTAGCCTCAAGAATAAGTAAAAAAAAGAAAAAAAAGTAGGCATCATGGTACCCACGCGTGGGCTTCGTAATCGTGGACTTAACATGTTATATACAACGTGAGTTAAGAGCAGGTACTGGGAGAACAGTTACATATTGCGAGCGTGCAGATGTTATTATACAATCTCTGAGCATATGGATATATTTAACATGTCAGCGTTTAAAATCAAACGTCTACTTAATGAGCGTTTCTTCCGTTCTTGATTCCGACTAATTAATCAAAAAAGTGAATTATATTACCCGTGCAGTTACCATGTGTGACAACTTGTAATTAGCTTTAAGTTACCACTTATATAATAGTTACATTGTTAGTTATAACAGCTGTAAGTTGTCCTGTTACTAAATAAAATAAAATAAGAATGCAATATAACAATAGGGGATGAATGTTTTGTGAGTATACTATGTCAGTCAGTATACTATGTCAAATATAGTTATAAAAATGTTGATGGTGATAAAACACGTTGTTACAGCATTTTAGCGATGTTTTGAAACATATAAATATGCATATATTACTTTGGTGTTAATTAATAAAATATATAGAACTATAGATAGACCGAAAAGGACAGAAAAACGTGATACATTTTTCAAATATTATTAGTTGCCCCAAAATTACATATTAACATGGTGAAAATTCATGTCATAGGTAGGTGCATAAGGATATAAGTGGGTAATCCTCATTTCTATTGAATTCCACTACAGATATTTAATAAGACAACAAAATTTTAATTAATTATGTATTTCAATTGTACAATGAATTATAAAACGTAACTATAAAACTAGAAATAACAACATCACAATAAAGTAAAAGTAACATTATTCCAACTTACATCAAATCTATGTGAAATTGTCTATAATTTACTAAGGCGAATTAACTTCGACTGAAACGTCTGATAGTTTAAAAGTATGGTCCACCGCATCTGACTTCGAAAGATTGTCTTCCAAATAAATCGTCTACTACAGCTGTACCGGCAGAAGGTAATGCCCCATCTACTGCGATCATACCATAGACAGGGAAACAACCACAAACTTTTATAGTCCCACCAATTGGTAAATCACCACCCATTGTCATATCTCCGTATTGTAATGATGGTACTAATTCTGAGATAGTTGGAGTTACTTGAATGTTATTAATAAATGGTGTTGCCATTGAATAAGCCTCGATTGCAGGTCCTGGTAACATTGTTGGTAGCGCGTTCGCGCAACCCGCTCCTGGAATACCTACAGGTATGCCGAAAGCTTCCTGAAATTTAAAACATGGTTATTAAATGTTCAACAACAAAATCACAGTAAAATAGCTGTCCTAATAAAAATTAAGACACATTATTTATATAAACTTCTATTAAGATTTACATTTAATAATGTAATATATTGAATAGTGGATGCTTCATAAGTCTCCTATAAGAGTATGGGTATTGCGCTAGAATAATGTTCTTAAAATTTTACTTACTGTTAAAAAATATGCTTGGAGACATAATATAGCGATTAGACGCACCATTTTCGAAGTATGAAAGCAAACTGATACTTTTCTTTGCGACCTGTTTATTTTTATATCGTTTACATTTTATCATTGTTACAACTAAGTTTGGTAATATGTTTTCTGTAAATATTATCAAGTATTACCATAATAGATTACATCAATAGGGCACGTAAGAAATAAAACATTATTAAATATATTTTTTTAATGTAATTAGGCACTGAAATTTGGATATAAGCAAAGAAATTGTTATCATTTTTAATAACTTAAGTAAGTCACGTCTAACCCGTTTGCATCAATTACTTTCTTACGATCTTGGGTAAGTTTTCTTTTTAAGTAATTAAAATAGACTAACACGCAATATTCTGTTCCAGCAAAGCACTTAATTCAGCTTTCGCCTCAATCCTCTTATTATTAATATTACAAATTGTAAATACGTCACCTCGTAAACCACTTGGGCATTTGCAACTCCAGTTCTATGTATATAGAGTCGTGCATTTGCAACTCCAGTTCTATGTATATAGAGTCGTAAAATCTTAAATGAAATTGTTACAGCTTTGAGATATAAACGAATATAATTCGAGTATAACGTCTTTTCGTTTTAAGGAACTTACGCTCACTAAAACAAAACTCCAGGAACCTGTACTACAATGATTTTGGAATTATCCTCTCCTCTTTATCTCCTTCAACATCCAAACGAATCCATACGCTCATACTTATCTATTACTTTTGTCATTTGAAACTCGACTTAACTGCATATTCGCAGTTCGTGATGAATTTCTAAAAAAAATATTTTCGCAATGTCATATTTTTATTTTTTCTTCTTCTCTCTTATTCTCTTCTTCTTTATTCATATAAAATTATTTAATGAGTAGGAAGAATATTTTTATTTGATGTTTTAATAGTTTTATGATAATTCAACTACATCTCCCTGTCCTTATCCCAAATACGTGGGGTCGGTCGTCAAACTTAATATCACGACTTCAAATAATGAAGCCTCTATTACTATTGTGTAGCATTTTAGTGTCTTTGTTATGTAGTTGATATCTACAATTTCAACTGCCTATAATGTCTTTAATACCTACTACTTAACTTATTTATTTCGCAAGTTCATTAATGATTAACTCGACATGAAAACGGTTCTCAAACTCGGGCCTTGCGGTATGCATGAATAGAAATCTCTCGTATCCCGTCTGCAAGCATTAAGGACTAAAGAAATTACACAATTACAATCTTTTTGACCTTTTTATTATTTTCAGCATTTACTTTTTTCTATTATAGCATTAAATTACCGTATTATTAATTGCAGACAGATGTTACTTCAGCGACTCACATAAGCGCCATAGCGAAGACGTAAGCATTAAATATACAATCACAAAGTTAGGACCGTCGGCAAAAGGATAGGGACAAGTAAGATAAGATTTTTAATATTCTTTGAATTATTTTGCTTCCTATTGTTTTAACATGGAATCTGCTCGTCTTGGCAGATGAACTACTATGACTGCAGTCATGATTTCACTGAATGTCACGTTTATATGAGTTTGTAAATGATCATATCTCTTTGTGATGTATATGACTACGCCAAATGAGTGTTTAGTCGTTGGTCACGGTAATTTATTTTTAAAGGTATTAAAAACACATAAACTTGTAAAAAACAGTTCATTTAATTAACATAACATATTTATTATAAACAAAATAATCTAATAAACGTAGCTACACGATGCTGGTGTCAATCCGATTTGGGAGTAATCGATAACAGGTCCGACATACATAAATGATCCATCAGGAGACACTTCGCTTATAATACCCACTTCACCATCTCCACATCCATATTCTACAGCCCCTTGTCCAGCTGCAGGTAAGGGACCTTCTAATGCAGCAGTCCCTAATACTGGTAACTGTCCACAAACAGATAAAGCGCCCTCTACAATAAGATTGTCAGAAACAATTGTAACACCATTAGGTGCGATGGGTGATGCACTTGTCACTGCAAATCCTCCACCATGAGATGGAGTATATCCTGGTAGACCATGTCCTACACCACCACATGGCAGTGCACTTTCAGGCGCAATTGCACCAATAATGCCATTGTAGACCGTGGCAGTACATTGGCCTGTTATAACCTGAAATAGATAATAAATTTTAATCTGTGTGTAATTTTTTATATAATAAATAGTGTTTTATTATCTGCAATCTCGCGCGATTTTTAATAACCTCAAATTGGTTGAATTTAAATACTTACATGAAGTATAAATATAGATAAACAGAGTATGAAGAAATTTGCTGACATTTTATTTGTTTGCCGCAAGGCTTATGTAGGAATGGTGCCTTAAATTTATGTAAATGTTTTTATACTGAAATTGAAATAATGTTAAGTCACATTTCATTTTCAGATTGTAAAATATATTTTGTTTTCATGATTATAACGAAAGAAATCTACTTTTATATACATTTCACTGACAGAATGCGGCTTATCTTTATTACATAAACCAATATTACTAGTACTTCTCGCAACTTACAATATTAGAAATACTGTAGACCTTTTTAAATGTATTTCGTTAATATATTTTTGAAAGTCTGTTTTTACGATTACACATATACTATTGATAACTTTAATACGTTGAATTTTATTTTATTTCTTTTTACATCAATCTCGACACAATATAATTTTGTAGAAATACACATTTTGCTTTTGTTGAATATAACAATTTTTATGAATTAAGATGTTACAGATTAAGCTGTAGCGTCTTAACATGAAGCTTGCTTGTATTTAAAGATATTTGTTAATTTTTCTATCCCAGTTTTTTTTTATCCGAAATATAAATTCTTAGACATAACACGAGCTTATGATGACGTAGTGAAGATCAGACCGCAGCTATATTGTTAACTTTATTAAGTACCAATGGTGTAACGTCTGTCTACACTGTAGATATTCGCTTCGTGATCCACACTATTTCTACCATTGTCCAACAATACAATCCAATAAAATGCTAATGATTCGTAATTAAACTATGCATGTGAACAACACTTTATTCGTTAATTGAGATACAATTTTCATATCAATATAATTAATGTTATGTCTTGATGTAATAATATCACATTTTCTCTTTCGTTATTAATCTCATTTCTCATTTTACTTTGATTTCAAGCATTATTAGATTCTTAACTGATATATAAACACGGCTAAAAACTCTCGTATATTCGTCCGGTGGTGGCACGGACTAGTTTCGACCCCATCGGAGGCCTTTTAGTTTAGTATAATGTCTCACGAAAGTTTGAATATTTTAATTATTAGATTCTTATATCGCCTTCCTTAAATATTACACATCTCATTATACCTATGTTTTGTATGTACACATTAGTCTGAAAAATGATAACACATCATCAAAGTAGCAACACCAGAGCTTTATGGGAAATTATGTCAAAACTGTGTACAATTATGATTTCTAGATAAAACCATTGTTTTCCTATAATTAATTATAGAGTTTATTCGATCTACATGTTCATCAGCCTGTCTTTTTCCCTACGAAGGGTCGGCACAGTACCTTCTACTTTTCTATTCATTATAATTAATCCTTAAATGTTAGTTTTTTGGTAGAAGGTCTCTCCAGAAGGGCTCAACGAATCTAATTGAAACACAAATGTAGACATAGTAAGGAAGAAATAGGCTACTACTTAACTTTTTTTTAAATTCCGTGCAAACGGAGAAGCGGGCGACAGATAGTCATTAGACAAGGAAGAAAGGCATCGCTATGCAATAATGCTAAACTTATCTATTTTATGTCACTCAATGTTCGGGTCATTGAAGCGTTGTTTATTAAATTAGTGTTGGTATATGGTTCAGAGAACATTCTGACCGAGTTGTCGACGATAGATAAATTAGCTTGACTACTATAAATTTACTTTATGGAATTATCTTATTCTATAAATTTATCAAATGTATTCTCAAGAAATTAGAATAAACTTGTTAGCATTAAAATTTGTCGTTTCTATAAAGTTTGATTATGAATTTATACTAAAATTTAATTAAATTATTTATTATTGTATCATGTGGTTCAGGAATTTAATAAAAACGGATGTTATATTATTCTTATTTTATTGTAAAAAAACAATTACACGTACAAATAATTAAACTGTAATCTCATTCTATATGTAGCCTCTGAAATTAGGGCCTATTGGTGAACCGAAACCGATTTCACCAGGGAAACCAAAGTTACCATAACCGAAAGGCATAGCAGGTGGAATGACACCTTCATTGGTGATACCAACTTCCCCGTTTCCACATCCAAATGATACCGCGCCTCGTCCAGCCGCAGGTAATTCTCCTTGCACAGCCACACTGGCTAAGAAAGGTAGTTGACCAGAGACAATAATCGGTCCTTCGATGATCAAATTGTCAGAAAATATCGATAATGTCCCAGGTGGGATGTGAGATAAGCTAGAGACGGGGAAGTTTTCAACAATCGATGGTCCATACGTCAATGGAGTCTCAGCTATGATAGGTGCACAGGGCAGCCCTGCGAATGGTCCGTGGGCTAAGCCAGGGTTGCCCAAAATTAGATTGTCCGCAGCCATTCCGTTACCAATAAATCCATGGTAAGGATTTGTTCCACATAATTGGCCGTTAATTGTCTGAAAAAGAAAGAACTACTTTAAAAGATGACTAACGAAATAGTTATTGAAGTATTAATTAAAAACGGGTCAGATTAGCAAAGATCCATCGATCCCAAAAAAAAAATCAGTCCGGTTAATTGGTAATATCATCTAGTTAACCTAATCGAACCTTTTAGAAGATTTACCTTTAATAAAAGTGTTGAAACAAATATGAAAATAGTTTTTGAATACATATTTTGTGTAGAATAAACACAATAATGATTAGTATGTTAGAAATAAAAGTTTATATATCAGTTGATGTGGGTTTTTAAGTACATTAGTTTAATGTGTAATACTACTTTCTTAATTATTGCGTTTTATTCAATTGTAATTATTATCTATATTTCGTACGTTGAAAGATATATTAAACACATTTGATCGTGTTACAAATAGCTTGATTCTTGCAAAATGAATAACGAAAGAATATATAAAACTATACATGATACGTATCATGGTTTTGATTCAGGTTTAGTTTGTCTTGGGGAAACAATGTTCAACTTATCAAGCCTTGTTTTGACGATCGGCCTGGTTCAGGTAATTATTTAGTTATAACTTACACCTGGAACTACAGTTTTAAGGTGGATCGATCCATTATTGTACTTCTCATGAATGAAATTGATTAGTTTTAGTTCAGCCTGTCTTTAAATATTGTGATACTTTTTAAACTTTCTAAAAGTTTTTTAATTTTAATTTTATCCATCAGGTTGCATTCTGCCAGCTTGCGAGTCTCGGTCCAGGAATAAATGCTCCAGGATATGGTTTCGGAGACTTAGCTCATACTCCTACTGGTTTTGGAGGGTGGGGTGGTTCAGGTTATCCTGGTGTTGGAACATATGGAGGTGTTGGTACAGCTGATATTGCTGTAGCGGGAGAGATTCCTGTAGCGGGTAGTACGGTAGTAGTTGGACAAGTACCGGTCAGAGGCAGCGTGGGTTTTAGTGGCCCGATCCCTGCTGGTGGGATCCTAGCAGTGTCTGGAAGTTGCAACTGCGGTGTAAATGGAGCCATATTGAATTAATGTTACCAGTGTCTGATTTTTGTTTCAATAAAATATTTTTTCGTTACAATTTATTATTTTTATTTTTGGTTTATACTTCTAAGTGACATATTTATTTCTAGTTAAATCGTCATAATTCTAAATGAAAGATCAAAACAACGTAATAATTTTATATTTGTAAAGAAACCGCAGAAAATCCGTTTGAACTCATATACTGAAAATTCCAAAATTTTACTTGTGTTAACTCAGGCACACTTTTAACATTTTTGAGTGAACATTTTTACTATTGGTTATAACGCTTAATTCGACGAAACTTTTTGTAGCAAAAAAAACCTGTTTTTTTAGTAAAGTCATACTTAAGTAATTTTCTCTAAACTAGTTCAGTAGTTTTTTTTATTAGTTGTTCGTCACACTGGACACCATCGAATTAAGGGTTAAGTCGTTTGGTTATTTTTTTGTCAATAAATAGTTTGATTTAATGTCTTGTGGCTAACAAAGAGTATGTTTTACTTAGAAAGCTACAGCTTTCTAAGTTACAACTTAAAGTGAGCTTAGTTAGGATTTATATATTCATAGTACTTACTCTATATTGGTTAAAGTCCATATTATAATAAGTAGATGGCTCTAGTATTTTAATTTTAATAAAGTTCTACGTTATAAGCTTTTAGTAATACATAAGCCTTCTTTTTTTAGTCGCTGCATGATAGAAAATCTAAATAGGCTTAAATTTCAACATAACATACCTTTATTTACTTATCTCTAACAAAACTTGATTTATACTCACTAGCTGTTGCCGTTTTTCCCGACTATGTTCTACATCTATGCCAAATTTTAGCGAGATCCATACCATCAAACAAACATCCATGCACCCATCCATCTAAACATTCGCATTTATAATATTAGTAAGATTTCTGTAACTATAAAAAGGCATTACTTCCTGATATTGATATAATTTGGGACAACTTCCTTTATAGACTAATCAAAACATATTCATAGGTTTATATTATAATACGAATTCCCATAGAGGTACACTGTCAATAATCAGAGGATTTGTTTATTGAAAATACGATATCGAAGATAATATTTTATTAAATTATTAATTTATTATAAATTATAATTTTCCATCATCATATAATTAAAACGGAGAGATATTTAAAATAAATAAATTACAATAAAACTTAGACTACAATAGGATTCCCAGTTCCAAATTCATTAGGGATGCCAGGAGCAAAATTGTTGAATCCAAATCCATTGCCTCCAAATCCTGGACCCATTGGTACTCCGCCGTAAGGCATACCAGGCATGGGACCAACAGGACCTGTGTTCTCATTCACCATACCAATATTTCCATTTCCACAACCATAAGATACTGCGCCTTGACCTGTAGCTGCTAGAGGTCCTTCCAGGGAGACACTACCTAAGAAAGGTAGTTGTCCATTTACCGCTAATGGTCCTTCAACTAATAAATTCTCGGATAGCACAGACAGGCCATGAGGAGCGCCTGGTGATGAACTTGTAACTTGGAAGCCTCTGCTATTAGATGCTGCAATGTCACCGATTTGTAAACCGGCTAATTTCGGTTCGTATCCTAAAGGATGAGCAACTGGTAACGTAGCTTCTGTAACAGCTAATGTATTAGCAACCGCTAAATTGTTGGCTGCCGCTATATTAGCGTTAGCTATATTATTAGTTGCTATATTGTTTGCAGTAGCTATATTATTAGCTGCGAGATTATTAGCTGCTATATTAGCAGCAGCAATATTGTTAGCTGCTAGAGGATTTCCAGGTCCTAATGGATTGCTTGCTGCTAAACCATTTCCTAACATCCCATTGTTAAATGATGATCCAAGGAATTGTCCATGACCATTCTGTAAAAAAAAATAATAATAATAAATTAATAATTCTAATTTAAAATCATTTAACAAAATTAATTTACAAATGAATAAATATTTTACCTGGATAAGAAAACAAGCGGAGATAATAAAAAAAATTAAAGACATAATTGATATGATTTGAAAGTATCAAGATTGTTGAATGAATACTCTATGCGATGCTTCGTATAATATATACTGAATTTTATAAAAATGTCGTAATAACATAAAAGATATAACATTACGTCCGATTATTTAAATAATTATCATGTATTGTATCATCATTATCAATAATTTCTCAATTCATGTATTCAAAATCGTGACTTTTTATTAATAATTATTATGTTAGTTAATTTATATTTATGTGGTAAAAGGCGATTCATCTTATCTCTATCTGTAAAAGTAATGAAGTTGAATCTGGATAACAAAAAGTCTAAGAGACCACAACATATTTCTAGCTTACAGAGGTTTCTCTTTAACCCGAGTTTCTCGCTTATAGACGTCGTCCGTCCAGACCGAACAATGGCTCTCGCTAATTTTTCCAGGTTCGCATTGAAATAAATTTGAATAAGTTTATCTTATTGTTAATTATTTCTACTATATTTTGTTAATAGTAAAAGTATTTTACTGCGAAATTTTCCTAAGAAATATCAAATTAGTTTAGAAAAAGATTTATGGTAATTAAACGTAGAACGTAACATAACTTGTGCTACAATTTTGCAATTATTTTGCATCTTGAAATATCTACAGGGGTTGATAAAATATATTTTCTCCATAGTTCTTGTTTAAACCTTTGGACGACGACAGTTATTATTTTATTATCATTCCTTTATTTACTTATTTTATATCAATTAATTAGGTTCCGGATGACATGTATTGGTGAAATCTCGGAATGATGGTATATTGTGGGAGTCTTAGCATCAACAGATGCCTCTAATATATTATGGTACTATTATTATAAAATTCGGTTATATTATTATGTAACGTTATGAAGAAAATCCGACACTGTGTCGGTGTACTGGCACAACACTAGCCTTACCAAAATGTCGACGTTTATGTTCCGTCAATAATCATTCTGACACTTGACTTGGTAACGAAAGCGCACCATTCGCAACAAAGGATTCTAACTAATAATGTCCAATAGTAAAAACTGAAAGTTTTTCGTAATTATTAATTTTGTGGTATAAATAGAAACAACATAAAATTGTCTCCAACGTCGTATGGAAGACAATTATTTTCTCATATTCATCAAAAGAAACAATACATTCTAAACACTCGAAGGATAGCAAACCTGTTATACAGTTTTTGTATCTTAGCTACGTATTTGTTTAGTTTTTAAAAGTTATAAAAATAATTTACACTTAGTTTTTTTTAATTTTTTGATGAAGTCTGTTCTTCAGATGTAAACACTGACTTGAAGATATCAATCTGATAATAATAGTTACAGAACTTTTGGTCCATTTCCAACGTTTTCACCTGATTTTTCGTCGACCAAGTGATCTTCAGCTTTCGAAGATTTGGAGAGCTTAGATTTTAAATGTTTTTGTCATTTAGTTGCAGGAATTTTGAAAATATCCTTGTAAAATGGATTTATTCATATTTTATAAACTATTGACCTTAAATTCTTGTTGCTTTTCTTCGATTTTTTTTAGGATTCCCTATAATATAATATGTCTTTAAATTCTCAGTCAATTTTAAATTTGTAGCACTCTATTATTAAAGTAATTATTACTCGAAATATTTCAAGGTAAAGCTTAATTCTTAGTTGTCATTTTACATTTGTATAGTTTTGCTTTGTGAAAATGAATTTAAATATTAATAAACGTTATTTTATAATCTTGATTCTATGTCTTATTTCTCAACTATAAAAGGATACATTTACATATTCTGGTAGTCATATCCAAAAATAATTTTTTATAAAAAAATAAAATTAAAAAGAACATATTTATTTATAAAGTTTTATTAACATTTATTACGTCTATAACATTTATACATTAATTTTAATAAAATATTTTAAATTGCTTCACATCTGTTAAGACCATTCAAACCCAAACCGGCAGGTCCCAAACCAGCAGGTCCCAAACCGTAGTTGGGTCCGGCAAATCCAGGGCCGTATCCGAAGCCGGGACCGAAACCAGGTCCGAAACCGGGCCCGAAACCGTTGGCGTATGCCATTTCAGGTGTGGGCATTATATCTTCGCTGATCATGCCTACATTTCCATTGCCGCAGCCGTATGAAACGGCACCAGAGCCGGCGGTTGGGAGAGCGCCTTCCAATTCTACTGTGCCTAAGAAAGGGAGTTGACCTCCAACAGCCAATGGACCTGTGTATTCGTTGTCAGAAATAACTGACACACCCATAGGAGCGATGGGAGATATACTCGATACCATAAAACCACCACCGTTAGATGAAGGTAGAGTAGCTGGTCCTAAAGGTGTAAATTCAGGGGCGATCATAGGTCCCGGGCCGTAGGGGGCACCATAGGGAGCTCCGCAGCCAAATCCTGGTCCTGCCCAACCCATAGCTTCAGGCGCCAGACCAGGAGCAAGCATGTTGTTATTTAAGAACTGGCCAGCAATAATCTGCAATAAAAAATATTTTTATTTTCTTATAATTTATGATGATTAAAAAGATTCATGCCAAGTGACAACGTTTTGCTCAAAGGCTCATGAAAGAACAAAATACATTTGATGATTTTAGGACTTACTTGGAACAGTGCTGTTTGTACACACAGAAGGAAAGTAAAGGAAGACATGTTTGTTAATTCGATGAACAATCGAGTGATACTGATGCTCAAAGTTCTTTAGTCACTTTATATAGGTTAGATTATCAATTTCTCAAATTGTTTATGTAAATATTATGAAAAATTTTGTCGTTAACATTACAAACGATACGTGTCTTGATAAATATTTTATTAATAAATTATAATTTCTGTTATAATTTACATAGATTATAATATTGAGTTGTAAGGTGTATATGTTGAAATAGATAAGCTCGTAAATTTGTAGAAATGATTTTTTAATGTTTATTTATTTATTAATTGTTATTGCTATTATAAAACAAAGCCATAAATCAATTTACATAACAGGGGTGGTCTTATCGATAAGCGATCTCTTCCAGGTCATTTTCCAACCGTTTTTTTTAAATTTAGATTGGCCATAAAATAAATGGTTATTTGGACATGAAATTATAAAAGAAGTCAAAACTGTATAGTATAGTAAATACATATCGGCGTAATTCCAACAATAACCAAACTAAAACATTTTGAAAAAACGATGCTTAATGTGAAATAGTGTTTAAGCCCCTTAGATGTGATATGTATATCAGAAACAAAGGAATTTAATTTAAAACACGTAAACTACAGTATAACTGTAGAAAAGCTATGAGCGCCATCTATTAAAACAAATCATACACTTAACAAAAGCATATTGGTGATACTAGTTGCCTCTACCAAAGCCTCAAGTTACAAGTTTTCATAACCAACCTTGGGCAAATGGATGTTTTTAAGTTATTAGCTAGGTGGCGCTATTTTTAATACTAAAAATTAAGTTAATAATTCTTATCTAGAAAGGCATATCAAAATCTCTAAGTAAAAATATAATAGAATTTCGATTCTAAATCACAAAACCTGAATTCAAATTATTTGCCCATCATTGCCACAGTTCATTGTTACTGCAGATTGTTTTTTTTCTCAGATGTTTACTTATTGCGCTTTCTTTTTTCTTGCTACTGATCTTGTTATATATTCAATTGACCATTGAACAGACTTAAAATTATTTTTTTAATTACAGAATTCTCTTGGTCAGTGTTTACAGCCAGCTCATGTTAGCAGCAGACACGGGTCTTGGTTATGGACCGGGATTTGCTAAAGCGTATGGACCCAGTATAGCATCAGACCTTTGTTAAAGATACGGTTCTGGACCAGCGCTGTACGGTCCTGAACCTTATGGTCCTAGTTTTTTTGTTACTTTGAAATAAAAATTAAACAATCCATGAGAGATAAATAAAGTGAAAACTAAGTAGAATAAACTATTTACTATAAAATCTTTTATTTTAATCAAATCTATTGACCAAAAGGGACAAAATTTTACCGATATTTTAGTTAACAATAATATGAATGTAAATAATTATAACTAGCAGTATATATAGCAGTAATATTCTCGGGTGATAAAAAAAATAAAGATGTAACAGTTTAATATGATAAATAAAACATTTATTACGCAACTACTTTAAAAAGTTCTGTTTAATGACTTTCTGACCTATTTCTTTTCTTGTACCTGGCCAATAATAAATATGACTAGCAGTTACCCGAAAATCTGTCCGCGCAGAATAAAAAAAAATATATAATGCTTGAGTATTCTTCCAGGATATGTTCTATATCCATGCCAAATTTCATTATGATACGTTTGCCGTTCTCGAGATACTTCCTAACGAACATTCATCCAAACATTATCATTTACAATATTAGTAAGATATCTATGTAGACTGAACAAACCAGGGCAGTAATCATCATTATTATTAGATTTATAACAAGTATTACGATCATTAAGATACGGTTTAATGTAAATATATTAATCGGTTCTCTATTGTTTGGCTAAGATCAAATTGGTGAACTAGAAATAATATTAGAAGAAAATAATATAATAGTACTAGAGTATATGTAAGTAAAGACAGTAGATAATTTATATTACTTTATTTAAAATATTCTATTAGTACATGTAAGGAGCCCCGCAACCGCAACCGCACCGGCCGGCTATAGTGACGACACCGCCAGCGGGCACATCGCCAGCGAACTGTACGGCACCAAGGATAGGCACCTGTCCCGCTACTACAGTGGTGCCGGCAACCGGCATCTCCCCGGCGACGGCCACGTCTCCCACACCAGTGCCGCCGTAAGCCGGGCCTACGCCGTATGCAGGGCCTACACCGTACGCAGCGGGACCATATGGTACTGGACCAGCGAACGGTGCCGGACCCGCGAGTCCATACCCATAGGGTCCAGAACCGAGAAGACCGGGGGCTAGGCCTGGAGCATAAGCTACTTCTTCGACGAGCGCGGGTCCGCAGCCAAGCTCATATTCAGCGCCGATAGCCGGAGCAAGGCCCATTCCGAGTCCGTTACCTAAATATTGGCCGCATGTAATCTAAAAATAATTATGGACATGTTATTAATATTGATATTTTAAATAAGTGTGACTAAGGCCTAGTTACCCCTAAGTTAGGGTAGGCTCCGAGTCCCTCAGCGGGAACATATAGTGAGCTGATCATGATGAATTAAGTATGCAAAAAACTTTTATAATATTTTTACCTGAATGACACAAATTTGTGCGCAGACAAACAAAAGAGTAGAGGTTGACATTATTTTTGTGTGTTTTATGATAGAGTTAAAGAAAGAATGCATTTATCGTTTACGTATGCGACTTTTATAGGTACTTCAAACGATCAATGATGTTACAAACGGTTGCATGGGCTTTGAATTGCTATAGATAACGAAATTTTTTACACGTTTTGTTATCACTAACTCGCGTAACAGAAGTGTAAACGAGTGCTTATGTTGGTAAAAGTTATGAAATGTAAGCTGGACAATACAAAAAAAAAAAAACCTAAATTATCTATTTTAAAACACAGTGCACACGAATATTGTGTCATTGATGCATGGTAACATATAAAAACTATTGTACCCATCCCCATATCCACATTTGTGTATAGTCTAAGTGAGAACCATCAATAAATCAAAATGTTCGCTAAAACCGTATTCTTGTTTTGCGCTCAAACAATTCTTGCTCAGGTATAGTTTTAAATTTTATTAGAACGCACATCGTAATTAAATATGAACTATGTATTTATTTTATTATTATTATGCAGGTTATTACATGCGCATGCTGGGGCAATGCATTCAACTCCGGGTGGCCCGCTGGATGGGCAGGCGAGGGTTTGGGCTGGGCGGGTCTGGTCCTGACCGAAGCTCCTCTCATGGAGGTAGCGCCGTGTGCCGCTGGTGCGCCATTTATGGGCGCTGGCTGGGCTGGCTACGGACCGCTCGGAGCAGCCGCATCCAGTGGGGGCGGCTTCCCTACTTCGAGTGCCTCGCCTATTCCCCCCGTGGGACTGTCCGTGGCCTCTGATAATGCTATCGAAGGAATCCTGGCTGTCGGAGGGGAGCTGCCTTTCTTAGGCACAGTGGGTTTGGAGGGCGCTTTACCTACGGCTGGTGCGGGTGCAGTGTCTTATGGGTGCGGCAGCGGGGCAGTAGGCATGGTGGCGGAAGACGTCGCGTTTGCGGGCGCGGGATGGCCGGCGGCTGGACTAGGCTACGGACCGGCTTGGGCGGGAAGTCTCGGATGGGCTGGTCGTGGCGCCGCTCCCTTCGGCTGCGGCTGTGGAGCTATTTAATACTTTTTTAAAATAATCAAATTGTAAATAAGACTAAATAAATTCCTGAACAAAACAATTATACTTTTCTTTGACTACTTAATTATGGTACCGAATTTAGAGGAGAGAAAAAATTGTGTTCAACTAATGAACGCTCCATCTTGTTTATTCAATAGAAAACATAAGTTACATTCACAAATAATAATAATAAAGATGTACTTATATCACAATTTGGAATCAGAACAAATTGTGCGCATCTAAGATTAGACAAATGATAACTTAATTATGATAGATGACACCATAGTAAATAAATTTTTATTTGTTGAAGCAGCCGCATAAATTCTATTTTTAAACATTTTGTATAGATCGCAAGGGATTGAGGTTTCTGACTTTACTAACTATATCATGTTTTTTTTTTTAAAATGTGTTAATAAATATATACTAAAGATGTCATTCAGAAACTACTCACATTGATCTGATCTGACATCTTTGTATTTCGCTTTTAATTTTTAGACGAGGCCTTCAGTATTCGGTAATTTTTTTCGCTCTTTTCTTAATATTAAAAAAAAAACTATAAAACATTTTTCATCAAATTCTTTATAAAACAAAAAAAAAACAAAATTGGTAGGGCTTTCCTGAACTAGTTAAAACTGTGGTGACCGAGAGACAGCGCCTTCTCTTATCTATTACCTAATGTTAATAAGAGTTAGTTACCAAATTATACGTAATGATGAATAGAATCTCTATTTCGGTATATTAAAAATGATATTTAGTGTGTAAGTGTGTTTGTAAATGTGCGCGTTTATGTTTATGTGTGGGTTTTTTTAATCATTTTAAATTTTTCCTTTGTTTTAGTTTTATCTATTTTCCTGAAATGATACTTGAATTTGGAATTTCTGTTATGTTTATTGAGTTCTTTAAGTAGATTTTCAGTACAGTCGTATTCAAGTGCCATTAGCCATTGTGTAATATATTTTTTAAAACCAAAATTATTTAAAGCTCCTTTGGTTTGATTGGTATCACTGCGCACTAGTATTTGGTTGTAAATCCAGGGCACAAGGAAGTTGTAGTTCTTTTGCGCATAGCAGATTTTGGTAAGGGAAATAGGGGAACGAAATTTTCTTTTTGAGGACTGTCGTACCAGTGTGGCTCTGGTCCGATGATACCTTAAAAGGATTGGAATACTAATAGCTTCCTAATAGAGTACACTCCAGTCTCCTTATACAGTGCAGTGGTAGGATATCCGTAGGGAAGACCAATAAGTAGCTAATAAGTAATATCCATAGTCAATTTGTTCATCAATATAAAGACATGTTTAAGTTAAAAAAAGTTTATTACAAAATGTACAACACATTACAACATATCAATAAGGAGTCCCACAACCGCATCCAAAAGGCGCCATACCTCGACCAGCCCAGCCTAAACCTCCGGCCCAATTAGGTCCATAGCCAAAACCAGGTCCGGGCAAGCTGGTTGCAATAGGAGCAATGTCTTCAGCAACAATGCCTACAGCGCCATTACCACAGCCGTAAGATACCGCACCTGCACCGGCGGTTGGTAGAGCTCCTTCCAGTTCCACTGTACCCAAGAATGGCACCTCTCCTCCAACAGCTAAAATACCTTCGATAGCATTATCAGAGGCTATAGACATCCCAACTGGGGGAATAGGTGATGCACTAGATACAGCGAATCCTCTGGGAGCTCCAGCGAGTCCGTTACCTGCCCACCCAGCGCCAAAAGGACTGCCGGCGCAAGGCCCTGCCTCAATTAGTGGGCCTTCAGCTAGACCTGGTCCGGCCCAGCCCAAGCCCTCCCCAGCCCAGCCAGATGGCCAAGCTGTATTGAAGGCGTTGCCCCAACATGCGCCAGTGATAGCCTGGAAAGTAGTTTTTTTTATTTAGAAATAGAAAAAATAAGTACTTTATAAGTCTCCCTGTCTTTGCAATAATACCTGCACGAAGAAGGCGTTAATGGCAAATAAGAATACTGCTTTGGCTGACATGTTTAACTGTCTCTTAATATAACTGGAGTATAAAAATAATACATTTATTTTGCCTTTTTATAGTTCTGTACTTAATCAACAAGTGGACATATTTATTGCGAAAATTATTCTTTTTTACGTTATCGGCAAAGCCATATTGAAAAAATTAAGAAAGCACATTACGCAGATTGCATAGTATCATTACTTCAGTATTATTTAGAATTGTTTAGTATTTTAATTTTTAAATAATTTCTTATGATTTTTACTTCCTGTGAAAAATATTTATGAATACGAATTGTTAGATCATATGTTAATTAAAATATTTGATCCAAAAATTTATTACAAAGTTATTTTTTTTAGCACCAACAAGCTCTAGCTTTTGTTTCACTTTTATTTCTCTTTCCTTTTTGGCTTTCTGTTCTTTATTTAAAATCAATAAGTGTACTAGACATTAAAGTCAGGTAAATTTTAGTGAATTTACAAACTTTTTTTTTATATATCAGAAGGTGGCAAACGAGCGAGCGGCCACCTGAAATCGCTGAAATAGCGAAGTGACCGTTGCCCATATACATACGCAATTGCATATGCGTTGCCTACCTTTAATCGACAGAGGAGAGAATGCACAGAAAGAAAATATTTTCCCTTTCCATGCATCCTCTCATCCGGAAAGTCCACTTCAACTTCCCATCCTTTCCTAATAAGAAAGAGGGTGGGAAGGAAAAGAGGACTATATTAGGCTTCCGGGACGCACACTCATCAGACGAAACGCAGAATAGCTTCCACTTCACGCCTGTCTTCTGTGTGGTAGTGGTATTTCACCGAGCGAGCCGGGCCAATTCGTGCGAAGATGTTAAAGCGGGCTCTACCACTGTTAAAACTTTCTATTATAAATATATTTTCTCATTAAATTCAACGATATAGCAAAGGCCAGAGGGCAACATCAATTCCCAGGAAGAAGAAGAAAGAAATAGAAGAAAAAAAACAGTAACACGATTACCGTGCAAGCTAGAAAATAGATATTTTTTATGTCATAAAATAATATATGATAAAAAAAAATTACACATCATGTACAAATTAATCACTTATGAAACGCTTATTACAGTTTTATTGTTCTGGTATAAATACGACAAACAAAATGTAAGCATACATTCAGTTCTTGACTTGAACATACACACAAACATGTCTTCATTCACCTTCTTATTGCTCTGCTCTGTGGCCTGCTTTATTCAGGTAAAAACATTTTTTCTTTTGACAATTTACTAAAGGAAGTTTTAAGAAAAGAAAACCTATTGCTGTCATCTTGTTCTTATTAATATTTTTATTATTATCTTAAATATAACTTTTAGGTTTGTATTACATTAACTTACGTAATTTTCAGACCACATGCGGCCAGTATTTAGGCGCCTCACCCGGTTTAGGATATGCGCCCGCTCTAGCAGTTGAAGCAGAGGTCCCCTGTGGTCCTGGACTAGCCGCAGAAGTAGCTTACGGTCCAGGCTTGGCCCCCGGTCTTCTCGGCCCAGGACCTTACGGATACGGACTTGCAGGACCGGCTGCATTTGCAGGTCCGGTGCCATACGGTCCGGCCGCTGCATACGGCATGGGCCCTGCTTACGGCGGCGCCGGCGTAGGTGATGTGGCCGTCGCCGGGGAGATGCCGGTCGCAGGCACAACTCTAGTGGCAGGGCAGGTGCCTATCCTTGGCGCTGTGCAGTTCGCTGGTGATGTGCCCGCTGGTGGTGTTGTTACTATAGCCGGAAGATGCGGCTGCGGCTGTGGAGGACCTTACATGTATTAATGTAATCGGACAATTAATGTTATTTTAAATAAATTAAGCATCTATAATTATTTTCATAGTTTTCATTTCTGATATTTTTCATTGATGTTCAACTTAAATATAGAAAACACGTATTCGTATAAGTTATGTTTACAAGAATATTAATTATGATGATGTTCTCCGTGACGTGGTACGTCAATGGCGAGCTTTTCCATCTTCGAGAGTGCAATTGGAGATGAGATGTAAATCCGAACTTAGTATTCAAAGTCCGGTCACACGCAGCACAGTACAAGCGGCCTGAGGAATAGTATGTTTAGGTATAAGAAATCTCCAAGATTTTCTAATTTGACGTTTTATATTCACGTCTTGTTGTAATTTATAAGCGTGTTACAGCCGAATTGGGACTTTCTCGTCTTTGTTTCACAAAATATTCCCAAACACTGATCGGAAACATGCAGATGGCGTTTGATAACGTATCTGTAATTTAGAAACAGACCTCTAGATTTGTGCTTACTTCATTGAGAGTACTTTTAGACATTATTTATTTATTTATTAACTCTTAATGCTATCATAATACATAAAAACAAAAAAAGACAATTAACTAATTTACAAAGCAAGGGCGGCCTTATCGCTACAAGCGATCTCTTCCAGGCAACCCAGTGGGACAGGAAAGAATTACATAGAAAGAGGGATATATAACATATAAATATCAGGATATGTCAAGAATAAATAAATAAGAGCAAGAATTATTAATAATATATATAGATTATTAATTAGAATCCTTTGGCGCGAACGGCGCGCTTTCGTTACAAAGTCAAGTGTCAGCATGATTTGTGAGTGGACATAAACGTCGACATTTTAGTAAGGCTAGGTTTGCTCCAGTTCACCGGCAGTGTCGGATTTTCTTCCTAACAGTACAATACATTTTTGGGCAGCCTGGAGTCAGTCATATGAAAAAGATGCCCGCACCATTTCAGCTGGTCCTTAATGAGCTTAGGTTATTCCAGACATCTTAGTGGTAGAGAGTACGAGTGACGTACGTGACGTGAGTTTAGTCGAGTGACGTACTTGGTTCATTAAGATTTTTAATTGGCTAAAATTTAAAAAAAAATACACCCAGGATCTTATAATTTAAATACCAAACTACCACTAACAGTACTTTAGTACAATATTTTAGAATCGCAAGAGGCAATAGCGATAATGCGCGACAGAGTTAAATTAGTTTTGAAATTAACGCCTCAATCTTCCCTTGTAAAGTGTAAACTTAAAAAGCTAAGATATAAATTTTGAAAAATCTGTATAGATTTGATATATTCCAAATCCCATTAGATTTAGATTAGCAAATTTTTTAAAAGGAAAAAGTAAGATACATTGGAAAAAACCTAATCTCCCATATATGCTACAAGTGTCCCAAAAATATGTGACGCATTCAATTTTTTTCAAAAAGAAAGAAAGAAAGAAAAGTTTTTATTATAGGTAATACAGATTAAACCAAGAAACAATAACTACTACTACTACTCAGCCATGAGACGCCCACTGCTGGGCATAGGCCTCCCCCAAAGATCGCCACGATGACCGATCTTGTGCCACCCGCATCCAGGACGCTCCCGCAACCTTTTAAACAATAACTGACATAATAAAATTGCACATAACTAAGAAATTAAATTAGACTTAAGTTACCATTTATGGGTAATTTGGATAATCTAGTGATGACCACACTAGGCAATGCCTGTATCGTGGGCACCGATATTCATAAAATATATTTGTAACTCTTAACTAACTTCGTATGATTTTATTATCTTCGAGAAAAGTATAAATCAATATTTCAATAAATTCATTATCATCTCTGAGACGTGACTTCGATGTGATAATTATTTATTCCATTGCCCTACATCTGATAATTGACCTTTATCTCACGTTTTATTATTGTAGTAAAAATAATTTGCTAACGAAGCATAATACAACAACAATTTAAAAGAGATTTTTTTTTCATCAAAACCTACTGATCTGATGAAAATTTTTGGCAGTCGTGTAATCAAGGGAATATACAAATAAAATATAAGATATAATTTTATTTTACTTTTTATTACTGGAGAACTTTTTTTATTAAATAAAATATCATTTAACTAATACATATAGGGTCCACCGCATCCGCAACCGCATCTTCCAGCTATAGATACAACGCCTCCAGCTGGAATTTCACCAGCGAACTGCACGGCACCAAGGATAGGCACCTGCCCCGCTACTACAGTGGTGCCAGCGACCGGCATCTCCCCGGCGACGGCCACATCACCTACACCGGCGCCGCCGTACGCAGGTCCCACGCCGTACCCAGCGGCTGGACCGTATGGCACCGGACCCGCAAATGCAGCCGGGCCAGCCAGGCCGTAACCGTAGGGTCCAGGGCCAAGAAGACCGGGGGCTAGGCCTGGACCGTAAGCTACTTCTGCGGCTAGACCAGAACCACAGGGGAGCTCGGCTTCAACTGCTAGAGCGGGCGCATATCCTAAACCAGGTGCGGCACCTAAATACTGGCCGTATGTATTCTGGAACGAAATTAAATTCAATTAAGAAAAAAAAAGTACGAATAATAACATTATACAGTTAACCTTTTTTGTATTATTTGAAAAATAAAACATATAATTGCTTACCTGAATAAAGCAGGCTACAGCGCAGAATAACAAGAAAGTGAATGAAGACATGTTTGGACAATTAACTTAATTACTGAATGTATAGCTCCAATCTAGCAGTTGTATTTATACCTGTTTTAAAATATCAATAAATTGTTACAATATTTCATTACTGAGTAATGCGTTTATATGTTGTCACCATTATCTGTTGCGACTTATGTCACTACTAGCTGTCGCTCGCGACTTCGTCTGCGCTGAATTAAAAAAAACATTGCTAGTAGCCTATATGTTCTTCCAGACTATGTTCTATGGGTATGCCAAATTTCATGAAGATCCGTTCAGTTGTTCTGGAAATACTGTCAAAAAGACATTCATCCATCGAAACATTTGCATTTATAATATAAGTAAGATATGCTTTTCGTTTGACAAGGAACATGATGCTTAGAAAATGGTTGAGACAGAAATAACGTAATTTATTTATGCAAACAATCCAATTTTCCATGATTCATTCTTTTGTTATCTTTCATCAAGATAAAATGATGAATATGATTTTATATGACTATAATTAAGACCCCAGGACATCACGAATGGAAACGAAGAATGCTTAATCTTCTTGTATTTCTCTGAAAGTCATAGTAATTTACCCAGTGAGTTGTTATTTGTCATTGCTTCCTTGTACTTGTATCATTAACTATTAAGGTTAGAAAGAAGTTTATGTATGTAGTTAGCAACTTGGATTCAATTCTAGGGATTGGTGGATCAAACGTTTTTTTGTGTAGTTTAGGATCCAAAAAAAAATTATAACCTTTTCACAGCTTTTTGTAACGTATTTTCAATCAAGGTCAATTGCGTCCATAGTATCAATTCTAAGCAATATATCCAAAAAATGCTTATTAACACACCTCTCTTGTAATATAATTACAAAAACATTACTTTGATATTATTTTCGTTGTTATTATCTGTTTACTACGACGTAATTTTATGCAATTCTTTGCAGTAACATGTTTGTGCATGCATGTGCATGTTTGTAATTGTTTGTAATTTTGATAATTTTTTTCATTTCAGTATAAATAATTCGTGCTTGTGGTCTGACAATCATTCCCACATTAAGAGCTGTTATAACTCCGCATTTTAATAAAAATAAGCAATGACCTCCAAAGCCGTATATCTTTTCTGTGCTCAAGTTTTTCTTGTTCAGGTAATTATCCCGGTAATATTATTATATTATTAAATATTCAATCTTAGATAAGGACATAATTCCAACTTTTCCAAGAACTTAGTCATTGTAAAAAATACGTGTCCTTTACCGATGTAACCGTGAAAGTCATAAAGTTGTTTCAATGTTCTGATTTTTTCTTTTACAGTCAATTTCTGGATTCTGCATAAATGGTGCATGGCCTAATGGTGTCGCTGGAGACCTGGCTTGGGCTGGTCAGGGATACGAAGTTCCATTAATGGCTGCCCCATGTGCAGGACCCGGACCTTTCTTGGGGGCATACGATCTTGCAGCTATCCCTTCATCATACGGTGGTGGATTTGTCATCTCCAGTGCATCACCTGTCCAACCTTACGGTGTATCTTTGATGTCAGAAAACGCAATCGATGGTATCCTAGTGGTTGGTGGTGAGCTACCATTCCTGGGTACCGTTGGTCTGGAAGGTGCTTTACCTACTGCGGGAACTGGTACCATTTCTTATGGCTGCGGTAATGGGAATGTTGGCATGATAAGTGAAGATGTCATGCCTATGGCTGCTGGTATGGGATGGGCTGCCGGTGCCTATGCTCCTATGGCAAACGGTTATGGATATGCTAATTGGGCTAGTCCAGCTGTTGAATACGGTTGTGGTGCCATTTATTAAATAATATAATAATTTAAAAAAATATTAATAAAGTTGTTAATTCTTATATTACTTAATGTATTATTCCATTTGACCATGTTTTTTTTTATATTATAAGGTGGTAAACGTGCTAGGGATCACCTCTATTCGCTAAATTAGCGAAGCGACCGCTACCCATAGGCAGATGCCTTGTCTACCTTTAATCTATGGAGTAGGGGACGCATAGAAAGAGGATATTTTCCTCTTCTAATCGCATCCTCTTCTACGTAATCTACCTCCCAGGATGGAAGGGAAGTGGACTAAACTTAGGACTCCGATACGCAAAATCATTTGACGAAACGTGGATTTACTTTCACTTAACGCCTTTCTTCTGTGTACTTTTATTTTTTTACATGACAGAGTTTATAATATCGTTGTAATAATATTAAAGTAAAATATATTAGTAAACGTTATAATTAATAGAGATTTTGCTTTGTTGTTTACAATACTTCAAAATTCAAGTAGGTACCTATTTTTCTAGTCATACAATTATTACTTTTATTATGTAAAAGTTTTCTGTTTTTCTTTTTGCTTTTGTTTTGTCATATAATTTTGTTAAAAAAGATGTGTTAGCCTTTAAGTGTATTACATGATAAGGTGTTCTTAGATATAAAAATATTCTATTAGATCCTAATCATTCTTGTAATAAGTTGCCTTCCTATTATTTTTGAAACGAAGGATTTGAAGCCTTAAAATGAGTGATCTGTAAGCTTTCAACAATTTTACTCGCATTCTCGCATATTATGGCGCCACTTATGGGCAGTTTTAAAGCTCGTGCTTGATAAAGCCATTCCATTCTATGGACAAAAATGCGGACCCGTGACCTCTATTTATGTCCTAACAAATATTGGTGTATTAAACGGGACGACGAATCGTATTGTGCGTTAAGAAATGAATGAAAATATGCCTCAAGTTGCAGGAACTACCTTAAAATGGCGTATTACGCGAGAAATCGTATTAAATGTCATCGTATTATCGGGGTTCTACTGTATTATGACAAGTACTAATTAATAAGAAAAAAAAATACCTAGAAAGTTTTTTCACAGACAAACACCTTTTTTACATAGCACAAAAATCTTCGTGGATAAAAGCTCGTTATATTTGGATAGAAACAAGGAAATTTTATCTACATTTAAGAAAATAAATAAATAAAATAAAATAGCCTTTTTGCTTCACAACTTCTTTACAATTTAAGATATTTCTACATGCCTATTCACTAAAACTAAATTAATTTATTATAATCAATTTAAATTGTATTTAAATAATCGGCAACTTGTTGTTTGTATTGAAAAGCTTGTCGATTGAAAAAGGCCTCCTCTAAAGATTTCCAAGTATTCCTGTCTATTGCTAAGCGAATCCATAAAGGTCTAGTTATTTTCTTAAAATCATATTCCCATCTTTTGTTTTGGCTGCCTCTATTTCTTTTGCTATCTCTTGGATACCAATCCGTTACTAACTTATTCCATTTTTCGTTGTTTCCTCTAAGCATGTCCCGTCCAGCGCCAATTTAGCTGTCTGTAGACTGTGTTTGCATTTTTAAACTTTGTTTCCTTTTTTATTCCCGTAATTTCACTCTATCTCTTCTTTTTACTCCTAAAATACCTCTTTCATTTTGACAAACTTTTAATTTACTTTCCAGTACGTCTGTTAACGCCCATGTCTGGGATACATATAGTAGACATGGCATATCTTTATTCTTTATTATTTCCCTAAGAGACCAAAACCGTTTCCATGTATTTGTTATTCTTCGCTATATTTCTTTACAGATAGACGGACGGACCACAAAGTGATCCTATAAGGGTCCGTTTTTTTCCTATGAGGTACGGAACCCAAAAAAAGCTAAAAAAAGGTAATTATTGTGGTTTATAACTGTTGACGCTAAAAACTGAGATTATAATAAATTGAGTAATGCGATAGTAAGTATAGCTTAACAGCTTAACCAAGGAATCAAGACAACACTCTTGAGTTTATTTTAATTATGCTTTATGGCATAGAAAATTTAAGAAACTTTTTAATTTATATTGAAAATATAATATAATAGCTTTCTATGGTTTGTTTTGTGTTAATTTTAATTAATAAATGAAAAAAAATGTTTTGCGTTCAAAATTGTATATTTTCAGATGACGTTGGAAAAGAAATATTTCTTAGTAGATTCCGCAACCACATCCACCGAGGGCACGTCCAGCGATAGCGGGACCGTAACCGATTCCGGCAGCGAGACCGGGTCCGTAGCCCAAACCAGCGGCAGCGGGGTAGCCCCAAGCGGGAGCAGCGATGTCTTCGCTCACCATGCCAACGGCACCGTTGCCGCAGCCATAGGAGACAGCACCAGCGCCAGCGGTAGGCAGAGCACCCTCCAGACCGACGGTACCCAGGAAAGGAAGCTCACCGCCGACGGCTAAGATACCTCCGATCTCGTTCTCAGAGAGAACGGACAAACCGACGGGTGGGATGGGGGAAGCACTGGAGGTGGGGAATCCACCACCGCTGGATGTTGGGACGGCAGCGAGACCGCATCCGCATCCGGCTCCATAACCAGCCCAGTTTGCGGCGCCGAAGGGAGCTGCGGCCATCAAAGGGGCTTCGTAACCCAAACCAGCGCCGCAGTATGCAGAGATAGTCTAAATCAATGAGAGTACATAAATTAGATTTTAATTTGTTACACAAAAACATGGTTTAATTCAATTATTTTGCTTCACTCACCTGGACCAAGAGAGCTTGGGCGCAGAAAAGAACGATAGTTTTGGCAGACATGTTGATTGTGCTTGTGAGAAACAAGTGTAAATACCAATGAGATTTTTTGGTATTTATAGTGCTAGACGCACACCTATTGAAATTATGAATATTGTGCAAACCATCGTAACGTTTTTTCTATATTTTAGTGTACGTGTTCATCGCTTTTATGCGATAAAACACAAAATAGGCATTAATGTAAGTCTTGTTGTATTAAAAAAAATATTTTGTTGACAAAATTGTGGCCCAACAGATCACTGTCTCACGTTTTCTGGTGTATGTTGAAATTGTTTTAATTATTTAGAGAATACTTAACATATAAAAGGCACTCTTACTATTGACGAATCATTCAGTCGAAACACAAATCTGCAACATGTCTCCCTTCGCCTTCTTGCTCCTCTGCATTCAAGCTTGCTTGATCCAGGTAAGTTGGAAATTAAATTTTTCATTCAAAAGAACTTATAACCATAACTGAAATTTCCTATTTGCCTTAGATGCATAATTTGATGAATGTTTACGGAAAAAATCACTGAAGGAGTATTAAAATAATTTGTAATTTTACAGAATGTATACAGCGAGTGCCTCGGAGCCGGCCTCGGTCTGGGCTACGCAGGTGGTTGGGCTGGTGAATACGGACTCGGCTATGGACCCGGTTTAGCCACCGAATTCGGATACGGACCCGGACTTGGACTCGGCTACGGAGCCGGTCTTGGACTTGGATACGGACTTGCTGGGCCTGCTGCCATCGCTGGCCCCGCTGCCATCGCCGGCCCAGCTTACGGAGGCATCGGCGTCGGCGACATTGCCGTCGCTGGCGAGATGGGAGTCGCCGGTACCACCGTTGTTGCTGGACAGGTGCCGATTTTGGGTGCCGTCAGATTCGGTGGTGATGTGCCAGCTGGTGGTGTCGTCTCCATTGCAGGAAACTGTGCTGGCGGCTGCGGCTGCAACGGCGCTTACAACGGCGGTTACCTGTACTGAAAACAAGCTATGACTATTTGAACATTTCTAAAATAAAAGCGTCAAATCATTACGATAAAGCTATAATTTAATTTAACATACCTATTTATCATATGACCAAAATATATTGCACACACATTTATTATGGAATTGCTGGGTGCTTTAGGTTTGACTACATTTTTTCTGTGGTTTCCACTTTTAAACTACTTGTATAACATCACATAGTCATCCCTTTTATTCTATTAGGAAATACAAAGGCAACAGTATATTTAAAAGAAAAAAATATTACGTTAGTTGAATATGACGGTTACACAGCAAAACTGACAAAGAATAATTTTAAATAAGAATTTTTTGTTACATATGTCGAAAGAATTAATTATACCAAAGAAAATATCTAACACATCATGAATTTGAAAACAAATTTATGTATCGGCAATAATCTTTTAAAATTACATTGTTACCTGTTTAAAAATAATTTATTCGGTATTACGAGACTAGTTATTGCAAGCTAATCACGAGTATTTAATAATAAACTTATTACAACTGTTTAGAAAGTTCAATTTAGTCTTCGTCTGTGTTATGATGCATTAAAGATTACATGTAAAGAAAAGGCGATTTTACTGAACTAGAAAGTTAATAATGAAATACAGCTTTTAGCCATCGACACTATTATCTGGAGTTTTATATTTGATCGAGAATTCTTTAAAGATATGAAAATCGTGTTGCTTGTACCTAATTTATTGTACCTTGATAATTAAAATTTAAAAAAAAATATTAATACACATTAAACATAGTGTGAACGGGTCCTTACTCTTGAATTGTAATTATGAACACGCGCAATGTTTCGATGAATGGTGTTCTCTTTCTAACTACCCAAATTGCTTGTCACTTTTTTGTTTATTTGTAAGGTGTATCATATTGTAAAAATAAAAATGTATGGTATGGAAGAATGGAGCATTCTGCTACAGGTATTATATACTTAAAAGGATGCTCCAACAACTGATGTATATTTATATGTGTTTTTTAGTTTAAATAAATTATTATTATTATGATTAATTTATAATTAAATTGACTGAGCCCTTATGACCAAAAAGATTTTTCGAATAATATTAATCGTCTCTTTTTTTTAACTGTACAAAAGCAAAGTACGTGGCGTCGGCCTGCCGATGCCAGCGCCACAGAACCGAGCAATCGTGGCAATCGAGATTCGACTGACAACATCATTATTAAGTTCCTCTTTTAAAAATATATTTAATTTTTGTACTTAATTGAATTTATTATTTTTTCTCACGTAGTCACTATCGAATTAAGAATCATACTTCTATAGTCAAGCGACACCCCTATAGCCGGACACAAGCTTGTCGTAAATCCGCTTCACCAACCACTAACAAAACATCAAACTATAATAGTTGTTGATTTTATTTGTGTGTCACAACCATAAACTGTCCTTACATTGTGAACAGTGAGACTACGTCTTCATATTAAGGATGGCTAATATAAATTATCCAAAGAGCATAGAGATTCTTTGAAACGCTACGTTTACTGCAGCAATGCTCGGAACATAACTCATAGTCGCGTAACGCTGAGGGGCACGCCAAACCGTATTTTATTTCCATGTAAAGAAAAAAATAAAAATAAATGTTTTGCGTTCAAAATTGTTTATTTCAGATGACGTTATTAAAGAGACATTTCTTAGTAGATTCCGCAACCACATCCACCGAAGGCACGTCCAGCGATAGCGGGACCGTAGCCGATTCCGGCAGCGAGACCAGGTCCGTAGCCCAAACCAGCGGCAGCGGGGTAGCCCCAAGCGGGACCGGCGATGTCTTCGCTCACCATGCCCACGGCACCGTTGCCACAGCCATAGGAGACGGCACCAGCGCCAGCGGTAGGCAGAGCACCCTCCAGACCGACGGTACCCAGGAAAGGAAGCTCACCGCCGACAGCTAAGATGCCTCCGATCTCGTTCTCGGACAGAACGGACAGACCGACGGGTGGAATGGGAGAAGCGCTGGAGGTGGGGAATCCACCACCGCTGGATGTTGGGACGGCGGCCAGACCGCATCCGCATCCGGCTCCGTAACCAGCCCAGTTTGCAGCGCCGAAGGGAGCTGCGGCCATCAAAGGAGCTTCGTAACCCAAACCAGCGCCGCAGTATGCGGAGATGGACTGTAAAGGAATTTAATTTTCATCAATTCATTGCCATTGTCAGAAAATTTTATTTCCTCGACATTTACGGGAAATTAAGTGATCATCTGCTTCTTTTTTGCTTGTCTTTTTAAGCTTAAATTCGAAAAAGTCGAAATTGTAACTTACGTGAGCCAAAAAGGCCTGTAGGCAGAAGAGAAGGACGGTCTTAGCTGACATGTTGATGTATGTATGATACTGTACTGAGGTTAACGTAAAGTTAGGGTATATTTATATGAATAAATATGCCTAAATAGTTAAATTAAGAAATTGATTTAAATACTAACATATAATACGTGACTACATTTCAAATAAAAAATATGTATAAAATGATTAGGAAACATTCCGAAGGATATTGTGTTTGATGTTGAAATTATATAAATCTGTGAGGGACGTGTTGTTTTTGGATTTGATAACAAAAGTAAAAAATGCAATAGGTTTTTGTGTTTTCCTTGTTAGTGATAAAAATTTCTTAGAAAATAAAAATAATGTTAATCAGACCAAACTAAACTTTAAAATAGCTACGTTTCGCCTTATACCTATTTTAAAGTCAAAACCAAAATCCTTTTACTGATGGCGCAATAATACATTTTCTATTAAACCCTTCGTATTTTATAACTTTAACTCGTTTTTGTCAAATTAGCAGTTTTAAAGTCTATTTATTTTAATTACTTTTGACGTCAAGTACACGACTATACTTTTATTACGAAATTGTGTTGTCCGCCGGATAAATGTAAATATATAAATAGTTTGGATCCTACTGCAGAATCATTCTCGATCACACAGTCGGAAAACAAACATTCAACATGTCTCCTTTCGCCTTCTTGTTGCTCTGCATCCAAGCTTGCTTGATCCAGGTAAATATGCATTCTTAAGCATTTGTAAAATTGAAATATTTTTATTGATTTTTAGAGGAAGTGTTCAATTATTTGACATTAATTTTAATCGTTTTAGAATGCGTACAGCGCATGCCTTGGAGCCGGACTCGGTCTGGGTTTCGCTGACGGATGGGCCGGTGAATGCGGCCGCGGCTATGGTTTAGCCACCGAATTCGGATACGGACCCGGACTTGGTCTTGGCTACGAAACTGGACTTGGACTTGGCTACGGACTCGCTGGCCCTGCTGCCATCGCTGGTCCGGCTTACGGAGGCACTGGTGTCGGTGACATTGCTGTCGCTGGCGAGATGGGCGTTGCCGGTACCACCCTCGTCGCTGGACAGGTGCCAATCCTGGGTGCCGTCAGATTCGGAGGTGAGGTGCCAGCTGGCGGTGTCGTCTCCATCGCTGGCAACTGCGCTGGTGGATGCGGCTGCAATGGCGCTTACAACGGCGGTTACCTGTACTGAAAACGAACTATGACTATTTGAATCTGTCAAAAATAAAAGCAACGAACCATTACGATCAAGTTCTTCTTTCAATTATCTTAGTTCACCCAAAGCGAGTCACGTAGAAATAAAGTAACAAGGGAAAAGTGAATAACATTTTGATATTGCAAAATTTAAACTGTTATTTTAAATCCCAGAAATTATTACACTCAAAAGAAAGTAATTTGTCACTATTATTCTATGCGACCGGTAATGCTACATATCAAAACAAATCGTAAGTAGTTCAAATATAACGAAATAAATTGGATTTATGTCCTCAAAGCAATAGTAGGGTTGTTAGAAAACCGTGGTTTTTCAGTTTGATTTGTGCACAGTTTGAGAACGACATCATTATTCGATCTTTTCATTATTTTGTTTAATTTTAAGCGAACTAAAGATTTACAATTGGCTCTGGGGTTTCAAGAGCGTCGGTGTCTCAGGGGTTTCAATACTTGACTTGTAATCTACAGGTCCTGGGTTCGAATCCCGTCATGTACCAATGTGTTTTTCGATTTCCGATTTACATATGTACATTTATCCGAAGTTCTTACGATGAAGGAAAACATCGTGATGCAAACTGACATATCTGCGAAGTAATTCAAATATATGAAGTCAACCAACCCGCACTGGGCCAGCGTGGTTACCTAAGGCCTAGTCACCTTTAACTTAGGGTAGGCTCCGAGAACCTCAGTGGGGACGTGTGGTGAGCTGATGATGACGAAAGATTAAAATATTATTCAGGGGTAGATGGAAGTTCATCTTTGCGCTTACAACTATCTATTACGTAAGAATGGCATTGTATTCTTCGAAAGTGAAAGAGACTTGGAAAGAAAGCTGATCTTATCACAAAGCATCTTGGCTAGGAAGAGAATCGTAGCGGTATGTTATTTTTATGAGTGTTCTTTAATTGAAACAATTAAAATATTGTAACAGAATGATAAATAAATTAAATAAAAAAAAACGTTTTTACTGTCAGTATATTCATAAGTGAAAGTAACAAAAAATTTTAAAAATACAAATTTTTCGTCAAAATGATGTAATCGAGCTCAAACTTCATGAGTTGATGTCTTTCAGTTGCAAAATTCCTGTAACCACCTTCCAGCTTCATCATCAGGTTAGCACTATGTCAAAATAATATTACATTACCACGAGTGGAACCATCACTAACCAGGAAGTGGATCATATTTTATTTGCAGGATTTGATAACAAATTTTGGGACAGGTGAAACAAAGTAAAAGCATGTTACAAAAGATGCAACTTTATTTTCTGTCAAACCGAGACAATAATGTTGAAATTGATATATTTTAAAAAATGTTCGTTAAGTAAGTAACACGAAGGTTGACTCTTATCCTACTTACAAATGATATACTCGTAATGATAAAAATTTCTGTTTTCTCGTAACTTCGGAATGGCTAAATGAATCAGTATGATATTTGGGTAATTTTATTGAACTAAGATATTAATTTTCATTTCTCGCGGAGAGAGACACGAGCGACTAAGTATGTGTATAATTATATCATATTAATTTTCTATAGTAAAATTCGATTTTTTTTACAAGTTCGTGCGGTTTTTATTATGTTGTAAAAAAGACAATTAAATAGTATATTACGTCTTTATTAATAATATTTTCGTAGCATTTACATTTGTAATAAAAAAAAATATTTCGAATTAAAAATCGTATATTTTCAGGTGACGTTGTAAATTAGACATTTCTTAGTAGATTCCGCAACCACATCCACCGAAGGCACGTCCAGCGATAGCAGGACCGTAGCCGATTCCGGCAGCGAGACCGGGTCCGTAGCCCAAACCAGCGGCAGCGGGGTAGCCCCAAGCGGGAGCAGCGATGTCTTCGCTCACCATGCCAACGGCACCGTTGCCGCAGCCGTAGGAGACGGCACCAGCACCAGCGGTAGGCAGAGCACCCTCCAGACCGACGGTACCCAGGAAAGGAAGCTCACCGCCGACGGCTAAGATGCCTCCGATCTCGTTCTCAGACAGAACGGACAAACCGACGGGTGGGATGGGGGAAGCACTGGAGGTGGGGAATCCACCACCGCTGGATGTTGGGACGGCAGCGAGACCGCATCCGCATCCGGCTCCATAACCAGCCCAGTTTGCGGCGCCGAAGGGAGCTGCGGCCATCAAAGGAGCTTCGTAACCCAAACCAGCGCCGCAGTATGCAGAGATAGTCTAAATCAATTAGAGGACATAAATTAGATTTTATTTGTTAAACCAAAAGGTTTAATTCAATTATTTTAGTTTACTCACCTGGACCAAGAGAGCTTGGGCGCAGAAAAGGACGAAAGTTTTGGCAGACATGTTGATTGTGCTTGTGAGAAACAAGTGTAAACATCAATGAGATCGTTTGGTATTTATAGTGCTGGAAGAGTTATGTGTAAGCACACCTTTTGAAATCATAAACATTGTGCAAACCCATGTAAGTTTTTTTTTTCAATATTCCTGTCTATTTTCAACGCCTTAATGCGATAAAACACAATACAGGCGTTAATGTACTATATGAGTCTTCCACTATTGAATAGAAAAATTATGTTGTCACACATTGGATCACTTCCTCACGTTTTCTTATGTATGTCGAAATTGTTTTAAACAGTAAGAGAATGGTTAACATATATAAAGACACTTTTTTATTGACGAACCATTCAAACGAAAAACAAATACGCAACATGTCTCCCTTCGCCTTCTTGCTCCTCTGCATTCAAGCTTGCTTGATCCAGGTAAGTTAAAAAATGAAAATTGTCATTGGACATATTTATTACAACTATTTATTGAGTTCTCTGTTAAACATAGATGAATAATTTGGTATACAAGTTATTTTTTTTTTGTAAATTCACAGAATGTATACAGCGAGTGCCTCGGAGCAGGCCTTGGTCTGGGCTACGCAGGTGGTTGGGCTGGTGAATACGGACTCGGCTATGGACCCGGTTTAGCCACCGAATTCGGTTACGGACCCGGACTTGGACTCGGCTATGGAGCTGGTCTTGGACTTGGCTACGGACTCGCTGGCCCCGCTGCCATCGCTGGCCCGGCTTACGGAGGCACTGGCGTCGGCGACATAGCCGTCGCTGGCGAGATGGGCGTCGCCGGTACCACCGTCGTTGCTGGACAGGTGCCGATTTTGGGTGCTGTCAGATTCGGTGGTGATGTGCCAGCTGGTGGTGTCGTCTCCATTGCAGGAAACTGCGCTGGTGGCTGCGGCTGCAATGGCGCTTACAACGGCGCTTACCTGTACTAAAAACTAACTACGACTAATTGAATATTTCTATAATAAAAACGGCAAATCATTACGCTAAAGCTCTAATTTCTTTTAACATTTCTTTCGCATGATAGCATGTTTAGTTAATAATTATAATAATATTGGAAAAATCTGAAACCTGTGGGTTCGATATACCAAAATTTACTGTATCGATGTGTAAGTACTTGGAGAGTTCTCTTTTTTACAGTCAAAGTTTTTAACTCATTGAAGATTTTAATATAATTTTATACTTAACACGACGTTTTTTACGTTTGACTATACGTAACAAAGAAAAAGATTTTTACTCGAATGTCATTAATGTATATCAAATCTTCTAACTAAGTCAATGATGCTGATGCCTTACAAAAAAATTTATACAAGGAATAATAAGTTCAGTCATAGTTGTCTAAGTTTTTTCACTTTAAGAATAAACAGAATACGATCGTGGGTATTTTCGACGGTGGCATAAATTGAAGCCCAGTTTCTGTAGAGATACATGATACGTCTTTTTTCACCAAAAATAGCAAGTTCCTTAATTTTGAGCCAAAGGAGCACATTATTATACACTATGACATAGCAGAGTCATACACCACTCGTCAAAAACATATTAGGTATTTGAAACAGAAAAATTTAGAAATTTTTGACGATTTTTCGTCTAGTATTGGTAAAATGATTATATAACATAATTTTAAAGAATTCAGAAAACGTATCTGGGATAAGTGTTACAGTCGATTAAAACCTCAATGAATGCTTTGAAATTACCCATTTTTATACCCCCACGTTCAAGGAAAGAAAATTACTTGGTATATGCTCCAATAAGAAATTTAAGTACTGTAACGTTTTAATCTTTATATATATATAATTCTTCTGTGAGTGTGTATGTCACTGAACTTCTCTCAAAAGACTGGACCGATTTTGATGAAATTTTTTGTGTGTTCAAGGGGATCTGGGAATGGTTTAGATTCACAATTTTCATCAAATATTAACTTCATATTAATTTATTCAAATTAAAGACGTGTAGACAGGACAACGTCTGTCGGGTCCGCTAGTTGTATTGTATTTCTTTAAACGATAAAACTTAAAAGGTTTTCCAGATGTTATAACAATTTAGTTTATGTCGTTTAAATTCAAAATAAAATTGCAATTACTTCTTTTGCTATGCAGTCAATAAATGGTGGTATTCCATCCATTGAAGCCTTTATTAGTTGATTATTTTCTAAGATTAGCTTATTATGCATGTGGTGTATGTATGTCAATTACTTTGTGATGACCTAGTCTAAATAATTTATTTTTTATTTTTATTTTTAAATGGCTTACTAGAATTTGAAGACTGAGGTGTTATTTGATTCGTATTCTTCCCTAGTCGTTTCTTCGTTCTTCGTTTAATTTTCATGGTTCTTTCATAGTGTATATTACATCGCCCAAAACAAATTTCTAATTTTATTTCTTACGTCCATTGTATATATAGTAGAAGTTAAATGTTAAAATTTGTCTTGTGTATATTCTAAAAGGTAATATATAATAGATGATCAGTTCTAACATCATTTTATAACAAAAGGGGGCAAACGAGCAACGGGAACACCGAGGTGTTCAACGACGCCCATGGACATCAGCAATACCAGAGGGACCGCAGATGCGTGGTGATAAGCTCGCTTCGTAGTTAATAACCGACTTCAAAAAGAAGAAGGTTATCAATTTGTCTGTATTTTCTTATTTGTGTACATAACATCGCTCGTGGTGTTCCGGTTTTGATTTTTTTTTATCGAAAGATGGTGTTTGCAATTTTAAAGAAAAGAAAAAAAAGAAATGTTTTGCGTTCAAAATTGTATATTTTCAGATGACGTTGTGAAAGAAATATTTCTTAGTAGATTCCGCAACCACATCCACCGAAGGCACGTCCAGCGATAGCGGGACCGTACCCGATTCCGGCAGCGAGACCAGGTCCGTAGCCCAAACCAGCGGCAGCGGGGTAACCCCAAGCGGGAGCAGCGATGTCTTCGCTTACCATGCCCACGGCACCGTTGCCGCAGCCGTAGGAGACGGCACCAGCACCAGCGGTAGGCAGAGCACCCTCCAGACCGACGGTACCCAAGAAAGGAAGCTCACCACCGACAGCTAAGATGCCTCCGATCTCGTTCTCAGACAGAACGGACAAACCGACGGGTGGGATGGGGGAAGCACTGGAGGTGGGGAATCCACCACCGCTGGATGTTGGGACGGCGGCCAGACCGCATCCACATCCGGCTCCGTAACCAGCCCAGTTTGCGGCGCCGAAGGGAGCTGCGGCCATCAAAGGAGCTTCGTAACCCAAACCAGCACCGCAGTATGCGGAGATGGACTGTAAAGGAATTGCAGTTTTCATCAATTCTTTGTCATTGTTAGAAAATTGTATTTCGTCGTCAATTGCTGGAAATTGAATGGTCACCCGCTTCTTTTTTGGTTGTCTTTTTAGGCTTAAATTCGAAAAAGTCAAAATTGTTACTTACGTGGGCCAAAAAGGCCTGAAGGCAGACGAGAAGGACGGTCTTAGCGGACATATTGGTGAATGTATGTTACTGTACTGAGGTTAACATAAAGTTAGGGTATATTTATATGAAAAACGATGAAGCTGAATATTAAAAAAAAATTAAGAAATTATTTAAAACACTAACATAAAATACGTGACTATTCTAATAGAAATAAATTAAGAAATATTAATCGAGGCATATTGTGTTATTGTTTCCTTTTGAATATATATCAATCGGTATGGGACGTGTTGTTTTTGGGTTTGATAACAAAAGTTAAAAAAAAAAAGTTTTTTGGCAAGTTTTACTTCTTATTATCATAAAAATAATTGATGAAATCGACCTATAATTATGCGTACTACAAAAATATTCACCAAAAAAGACGTAATTACATATCATTCTAATTATAAAGATATATGAGAGAAATATAAGACAAGCCAGCTATAATAAGGTGTTTTAAATTATAAAAAAATAAAAAGTAAAATTTGATTTGGAGAAAAAATATTCAAAAGTGGCTACATTATGCTTTTTATCTCTTTTAAAATAAACACTATCGTTTTCTTATGTTCGGTTACAAAATTTTACCGTTAAACCCTATTTAATTGAGTAGGTGTGTCCAAATTAGCATATTTAAAATGTACTACTTACTTTTGTCATCAAGTACATGACTATATTTTTATTACGAAATTGTATTGTCCGCTGGATAAATGTAAATATATAAATAGCTTGCTTCCTACTACAGAATCATTCTCGATCACACAGTCGGAAAACAAACATTCAACATGTCTCCTTTCGCCTTCTTGTTGCTCTGCATCCAAGCTTGCTTGATCCAGGTAAATATGCTTTGTTAAGCATTTGTAAAATTGAAATATTTTTATTAATTTTTAGAGGAACTGTTCAATTATTTGACATTAATTTTAATCGTTTTAGAATGCGTACAGCGCATGCCTTGGAGCCGGACTCGGTCTTGGCTTCGCTGACGGATGGGCCGGTGAATGCGGCCGCGGCTATGGTTTAGCCACCGAATTCGGATACGGACCCGGACTTGGTCTTGGCTACGAAACTGGACTTGGACTTGGCTACGGACTCGCTGGCCCTGCTGCCATCGCTGGCCCAGCTTACGGAGGCACTGGTGTCGGTGACATTGCTGTCGCTGGCGAGATGGGAGTTGCCGGTACCACCCTCGTCGCTGGACAGGTACCTATCCTTGGTGCCGTCAGATTCGGAGGTGAGGTGCCAGCTGGCGGTGTCGTTTCCATCGCTGGTAACTGCGCTGGTGGATGCGGCTGCAACGGCGCTTACAACGGCGGTTACCTGTACTGAAAACAAACTATGAATATTTGAA